GTATTACACAATCATTCATAATGAACGAGTAATTCATTAAAAATATTTTGGTATCATATCATCAGATAGATCGCCAGTGTTATAATATGTAGGCTAGTAAAGTGAAGTATTGAATGAGAAATAGTTTTGCTTTGAATAGTAATGAACTGTCACATATTTAAGTGTCAATTAATTCATTCACTTTAATTGTGGGAATACAACGTTAATTGTTTATAAAAAGATAAACAGTTCAATTATATATGAGACGCTGTTCCGAGCATAGTAACGTCAATACCGTCGTCACCATGTATTCGACGCCATGTTTCGTATTATGACGTCAATTACGTCAACACGTGCATTTTGGGTTATTTATTTTATTTATTTTCAGTGGGAGGGTTTTGGGTGTTTTAATTAATTTAACATTTTTGATTTTAAGTTTTAAACTTTAATATTATTTATATTATTATTTTAATATTAATTGGACAATGTAACTGAAAGTCACTGCATTATCTATATGTACTTAGATTACCTATTCAGCGATCTCGAAGGTGGGTTAGTTATGGTGTTTATCTAGCTCTGTTAGTAAACCAAATCAATTCATGTGCATGTCTGTTTGTGTTAACCGTCACATGTGTGTAATTTTATATCTATTTATTCCAAATGTAAAGTACCCTAATGCTCTTTTCTTCATAAGTGCAAAATTCTTGCAGAATTGACATGAACATTGTTCGCTTTTCCATTATAATAAATTACACATTCGACATATTTTACCGGTTACAATCTAATTTATTCATAAGCTGCTAAATGGTAAATATGTCATAGTATTATTTGTGTGTTTTCATGTGATATATTTTCAATGTATATATCCAGATAATTTTACACAAGCTTCATTATAGAAAGCAATTGTTTTTACATTAAATTATATCATTAATGTCGTATCTAACAGTGTGCCTTTTCCTTTTCAAAAAAATCTGCGATATATTTATTATTTACAATATAAGACTTGGTGACTAACAATCATTAGAATTTAAGTGAAATGTATTATATGTTAACTTTACATTAGCTTTACTTGTAGTGTTTTCTTTGCATTCCGGACTAAAATAGATAGCATCTTGTACCTACATCTTATAAATCTGAACACTGACATGTACATACCTCATTAAAATGCATGTACAAACCATATGACATAAGTGTTCACATCTTATGACATGTACACAATGAACTTGAACATTTTATAACTCTTCATGCTTTATATATACACGTACATACCTTATGAAATCGTGACTTACAATCATTTTGATTTAAACGTATGTTATTGCCTATTTTTACATAGCAATGGAATTGGGCACAAGTTGTACAACTTATATCAAGCCCTTTCCCTGAACAATAATATTTTTTAACAAAATTTTATGACGGCAGAACTACGGAAATAAGCTATGTATGATAAATTTACATGCATTCACCCACACATTCACACACCCAACCACACGCATGCGCACACATATAAACAGGCACATGTAGATAAATGAAGAAGGAGAGATAAGGGAGAGAGAGAGAGAGAGAGAGAGAGAGAGAGAGAGAGAGGGAAGAGGGGGTTAGAGAGTCCGATTTTTTAAGATTACTGGATAAGTACTGCAACAATACAGTAAATTTAAGAAAATATATATCAGACCACGTGGTTGTTCTTTCTCCATTCGAACGGACTAGTTATACTATTTGCTGTTCACAACTTTCTTCTGATCAAATGTTCATCACTTCTCCTGCTCCCGTACTCCTGTTCACTCCGCTCTTACATACATAACCTATTACATACATTAACACACTTTATGACGTCTACACAATTTATGATACGTAATATACACAATGGCCTTGTTAGCCCCACCATTGCTTATCAAAATATCAATCTGGTATATTCCCAGAAGTGAACTAATAATCGCGGTTGGTGTGATATAGGACGTATACAGAGGAAAGTGACCACCCCTATCGGATTTATCTGTCCCCAAACGGTGATATTTGAGTACACCGTCTGAGACCAGTAGCTCAAACATTTTTAATCTGTAATATACTCAAAAGTTATTGACACTACAGTATAATAACTGCTGAATGTCACTACAGTATAATAACTACTGAATGTCACTACAGTATAATAACTGCTGAATGTCACTACAGTATAATAACTGCTGAATGCCACTACAGTAGAATAACTGATGAATGTCACTACAGTATAATAACTGCTGTATGTCACTACAGTATAATAACTGCTGAATGGCGCTGAACGAAGCCCTGAACGGTGTAAATTTGGCAATTGTTTGATTCACGATTTTTTTTCTTGTTTTTTGCATTTCAAAAAAGCTGTACGCTCTAACAGAAAAAAATACAGAAATACACAGTTTTTAAATAAATTGGTAAAACGCTTCAGGGGAGGTAGCTTTTCTATATGGATTGAAAGGTGTTGTAAATTCTAAAAAAATATTTCATAATTCTGGACTTTATGCATAGTCTTCTATGCTGAGATTAAAAGATAAAACTGTTATCATGAATAAATGTCAAATATTTCGTGAGTTGAAAAAACTCTAATGGGTTATTTGAGTAACCCCCTTCAGACAGTAGATAGTAAACCTAACTCCCGCTGACCCAGCAATGTCAATTTATTACTGTTATACTACACATCTAGGCCTTACCAAATGTTTTTATTCGAAATACCAAGAATAACTCATAACGGGTACTATAATTCACGAAATTAATTATTTTAAACTTGTTTTTAAATCTATGTGGTAAAGTGTGGATATGTTTTGGAATAAACATGTTATAAATATGTTTTTGTGTTTGTGATATTTTGTTGCCAGCCTTGATGCAGCGTTTGATATAGCAGAAGCACTACATGAATCTACAGGTTAATAATTTGAACTCCTATTTAAGGATTAACTCGAATATATTTTTCATGTTATGGAGGTTTAACACAAAAAAACGGAGTGTACTCTAAATAAACCGCAAAGCGGTTTCAGATGAGAGTACACTCCGGTTTTTTGTGTTATACCTCCATAACATGAAAAATATATTCAAGTTAATCCTTATAATTTAATCTACTATACACAATCCCTGTGGAAATCCACTTTTATTGATGGGCTCTTTTCTCTTAGAAATTATTGCGCTGCAGTATCAGCCAATCAAAAGCGACGTTATAAACGGCGACGTCATTTTTTTACGTTATGGACTGATAACATAAATTTTTAAGCCAATAAAAATGCTTGTTACAAGCAAGATTAAATTATTTTCTGTTAACAAAGCTTAACTATGTGTATGATATGTTCAGGTATGTCGCCGAGATGTACATTTTTGAAGGTATAAAAATTATAATCGTTTGTTTTTTAATTCAGAATGAAATTTAACTTTAATGTCTTTTCCGACTGACAATTGCATAATTTTGAATTCATTCAAACTTAGATTCGTTTAAACTTAATAGATAAATTAGCACAGAAATATACATATCAAATTAATCGTCAATTCTACGGTAGGTCAAAATAGGTTTTCTTGTTGAATGGCAATGTCAGACATTCAAATAAGCGCCGTAAAAATTGTTCGAGCTCGAAGTTATTAATCAGACAAACTTAACGAATAAAATGTGTCTCAGATATCATATTTTTATATAAAAAAACACCATATTTTACGTAATTATTCTATATGTTAGTATCTCTTGCAGAAAGATATCAAATGAATTATATAATGAAAAATAATAAATACAGTAAATTAAATTAAAAATGTTGGTATCTTCTTAGAGGTGCGCCGAAATCCAATATGTTATGCAGATGTCATGTGTCACTGATATGTCTAACTACTATTTCGTGAAATGTTGACGGTATTAAAGCTAATTAGCGTACATAATCGAAATGCCCTCCTAGTTTAACATGAAATCCTGACCATTATTATATAGAATCAAACAACAATGGTATTGTCGGTGTTTTCATTATTTCAATCCCCTGAACGCATAATGGAGATTATTTAGCAACAAGCCCGATGTATGCGTGTAAACTTGGCCAGTACCTCCGTGATATAAGGAACGGCGGTATAAACGATATCCCACGCAAAGCAAATTCATTGTTCAATAAATGTTCGGTATATACGTTATTTTCGGAGAAGTTGCTTTGGATTTTCTCAATTTTACAATATGAATCAACACGAGGGCCTGCTTGATCCATGAAAGCCATTTGAAGAAGAGAAAAGTGATTTTTATCACCGGTACATGTGTAGCCATTTCTGTGTAAATTTTAAAAGAAATACATTCGCGCTGTTAGCAGGTTACAATATTAATTCCATATTGGCTGAAACGACATCTAAGCTTCATATGATGTCTATTATATTAAGTTTTTCTTTTTCTTGACCCAGTTAAACGTTATATCAGATAAACGTATTTCACATTATAACAGAGTCCCTGCCTGGTGTTACTCTTTGAAAAGCTACTCCTTTAGTACGGCTCATCATATGTTCACTTAATTTGGTATGAATATCCTTATAAATTTAAGCATGAGACGCCAATAACCAGACAACGTCAAGCTAAGGCTATATTTCAATTTATTTCAAAATACCAATATATTTCAATTTATTTCAAAATACCAATTTATAGAAGGGTTACTTGACTTTGATAACATGGTTCATGGTTGTCGACGTCTTTGTAAGCATACTTTATTGCTTCTGTTGACGCTTCTTCATAGTCATTCACTTATTTACAGGTTACGCAGAGGACGCGTATACAACTTAATATTATATATTAGTAGCACGATGGTAAAAACTTGATTGGAATTTTGACCCAAATTGCAATGCTTATTGAGTCTAGATTTAAAAACATTTTAGGCTGGGGACGCCGTCTCTTCCACAATTGTAGGGAGTTGATTCCAAATATTTAAATTTTATTTTTAAAAGCATGTCCCCTAAAGTTGGTCTTATACCGATTTTTTTCTTCAGTGTTTCGATGATAACATATGTTTAATTAGAACCACGAACTTAGCTAATCTCCATTTATTAAACAATCCTTTCCTTTTTCATTCATTCATATCTTTATAGCATAAAAGTATGACGTGGTTATCTCTCTTGTTGTGGTACTCTCTTTCAGCGCATCATAAGGTATCAACTTCCGGTTGGCAAAAATGGATGAAATTTCTTTGGAAAATCTTGTAAAAAGTCAACTGTTCAAGGTAATCCAATGATGCATATTTAAATCAACATGGATATGTCGATGCATAGAGTAATGAAAAAAGTATTTGCACATACCTCAGCCGAGCTATCGTCAGATTTCCTAAAGAATTTTGACGATGTTTCCACACCATTGTCAAATGTTCAGCTCACAGAAATCAGTCGGGAAGCAGGCGTTGACCTACATGAAGACGGTGGTAAATTTAGCATGGTAGGGGATTGGAACTCAATGGTGTCGGCGTATAAACTCCTGATAGAGCTACTTAATTCCGTATATGGTATTCCACCGGTATCCACCTCATTGGATTACGAAGACGGTCTTGTAGAGTCGACGTATTCGAATCAGACTCCAGAAAATGTTTCCACGAACAGCACTAGTAAACAACCAGCAACTAAATGTGAGGGTAAACAACAGAACAAGCGATCAGAGCAAACACTGAAGCCATCTGCAGGGAAGAGTAAAGTCCCAGAGCCAATCGTGTTGACCTTTTCATCCAAAGACTTCATGGTTGACGATCCAAATACAGAAAGTGAGAAAGTGTCGGATACAGATCCTATGTATGATGGGGAAACAGAAGATGAGGAAGGAGAAAACTCATCGCCTCCAGAAAACACTTTGAATAGTAGTGGGGATGATGATAAAGACAATATTAATCTTGATTTAGACAAGGACAATACAACTATAAATTATATTCATAAGAAACAACAGGCAAATCGTGAAGTTGCCAGTAAAAACAAAGACATAAAACCTGTGTTTGATAAACCTGAACAAACAGTTACCAGAACAAAAACCAAACAAACTCTTCGTGTTGACAATATAGCTAAGAAAATTAGTAAATTAACACCACCAAAAAAGAAACATAAAAGGAAAGGCGTTCCAGTGAAATTACTCAAAACAAGTCCTAAAAAAGATGACATTGAAAATATGTGTGGAAAATCTGTTGAAATAAAGCAAGAGGAAGGAGATGATGGTCCCAAGGAGACAGTGGAAATATCAGACATATCTGAAGGGGTTGATGATGATGCCGATGGCGTGCAGGAGACAGAATTTGATGATGTGGATGATGAAGAAGAGGCTGATGATGAGGAAAAATTAGAGGAAAAGCAGGATGCAAACGATCAAGAATGGCTTCCTGATAAAACCTTTAATGATAAAGCTGATGGCTTAAAAATAAAATTTGAAAGGAAAGCTGGCAAAAGACAAACAAGAAAAACAAGAGCAGGACAAATAAAGAAATCCAGAGGGAAGAGGTCCCAAAATGTGGGGAAAGCATGTGATTACCCGTGTCCCTCCTGTTCTTATGTAGCAAAGAAAAGAAGTCAGCTAGGCGAACACTATAGGAGAAACCACAGAATGAAAAAATGGAAATGTGAGCATTGTGATAGAACATTTGGTATTCATAAAGACTTGAAACGACATGTGTTGACCCACGTTGAACCTCAACACTGCTGTGACACATGTGGTAAGATGTACAAATCGCTTCGAACATTCATCAAACATAAGAAAGTTCATGAAGATGATTATGAAAAGCCTGAATATCCATGTGATCAGTGTGATAAAAGATTCAGTACTAAATACGTACTAAACTACCACATCAAGGCTGAGCACATGGGCATAAGAAAAAGCTTCCTGTGTCCAACATGTGGCAAAAGTTTCACTCAGAAAAACTCTTACATTCAACATGCAAATGTACATATGGGTCTAAGACCTCATATTTGTAAGGTGTGCAACAAGTCGTTCGCCTATGAAAAGTCTTTAAAGGAACACAAATATACCCATGATGAGGTAAAAAGATTCAAATGTGTAGTTTGTGACAAACTCTTCCGACAATCTTCAGCCCTTGCCATTCACATGAAAGTACACAAAGGAGGAAAGGATCATTTGTGTGGAGTTTGCGGTAAAGGTTTCACACAAAAACAGGCTTTGTATAGACATGAAAGAATTCACAATGGTGATAAACCATTTTCTTGTGGTCTCTGTGCAAGAAAATTCAGTGACACTTCTATAATTAGACGCCATATGATCTTGGTCCACAAGAAAGATCCAAAGAGGTGGAGAGAGGGTGTTATATCAGACCTGAAGGGAAAGGAAGGCTACTTTATTGAGAGTTTTGATGGCACAGTTAGGAGAGGGGGTAGGCCTATTATGACTGGTGGGCCAGATCCACCAACTGACTTAGAAAACCAGGATAAGGACCTGTCTAATGAACAAACTATCCCTAACAACACAGAAATTCAGACACCGGAGATGATGTCTAGCCCGGAGTCTGATAGTAGGGCAGTGTTTAGTAACATAGTGGAACGAATCATTGGTGCTTCTAGTGAACATCTAACTGGACAAAGTTCAGAAAAATTGGATCATCATTTAGAGGGTGTTGATTCAACATCAGAACCAGTTGACAATTATCTGTCCCATCAAGATCAGCAGCAACAGCAGCCATTACCACCTGTGACAACGGTACGACCCCTGTCGAGGACACTAGATCAGGTGACAGCTGCTGCTTCAGCCCATGGACTTTCACCTCAGGATGAACAAATGGCAGCTGCAACTGCTGAATATCTACGTAAACAAGCTCTTCTCCAAGCAGTGAGTTCCATGCATCATCAGGAGCATGTTCAGACTCCGAATCCAGGACAATCTCAAGGACAAAGTCATACAACAATGCACCTGCCCCACCTGCCCTACACTGTAGATCCTACAACTGCAGGCATTGATCAAGTGACCCTTTTGCCACCTCAGTCTGCAGCCTATATGTCTGGTGCTGGCCCTGACGGTTACTCCGACCTGCGGAGAAAAGACAGTCGTGATGGTCAAAGTTCAGACCACACCTTCACAGACATGCAGCAACAGGTGCACGACTCCAACCAGAGACCGTATGATAATAAAACCCCCGGGCAGTGGACGGTGCCTCCATTTCCTTACCTGTACATGCACCAGAACTATAACCCTCTTCAGTACCAAAATCCAAACCAGTGATGAACAGTGCAGATATTGGATACTTTCTTTATAATTAGTGGTCAGTGGTAAAAATCAAACAATTCAATATCCATTATGATAGCCAAAATCAATATATATATATACAATATGTACAAATTATGTGCTCTGGTCTTCAAGTTGCAATCTTAAAAGATATCATAGATACCTTTTATATTGAATTTCAGAAGTTGTCATTTGGTATTTTATAGTTATTGGATAATTAAGAACAGATTAAAATCACAAGGTTTATAGGTCTAGTCCAAATATATAAAACATACAGTATTTAACTATTTTTTAACAATGAAAATGTCTGATTAAAAATACCACACAAATGCAATTTTTTCACATGTCTTATAATAAAATACAATGTCTGGAAAAGGATTTTGGTTACTATAGATATTTTATTTCATCAAACCAAATCACTAAGGATATATTTTGCTGGTTTTTGATGGGAAAAAAAGCATTTTTTTGGTAGAGTGTTGAAGAACAACTGTAAGCAATACCGGCCCAATCAATTGTGATGATATATTAAACAGGATTTCTGGTATGATATAAAAATGTTTTTTTGTTTGTTTTTGTTTTGCCACTTTTGGTAAGGGTCAGTTATTTGAAGGAGAGGTTAATAAGAAAACGTCATATATCCAATATCTAGATCTGTGAACTGGTGTACCACTTAAAAGCTTTGTGACATTCGAAAATATTTTGCCATATTTATATGAATGATACGGTACCTGTGTAGTAAGTTGCATTATTTTCTATAAATAATATGCTAGTTATTTTATCATATCAATATGCAAGCTTTTGAGGGGAATTGTTTTTTTTGTTTTTTGCTATTTGCCTTTTTTAGCATTATAATTTTTCATCGTGTGAAATTGCATGTGGCTATACTGTATTAGTAAAAAAAAATCCATCACAATACAATGAAAATCCTCCATTTGTGGTTAATAACTTGTATGCATTGAAAATAGCAATAGAAAATGTGTTGCAAAATTGATTATTTTCTGATGATTCCTGTTATTTGTACTCTATCTATGTTTGTATATTATTTTTCAGTCAATATATATGGAATTTAAACCCGTTCTACAATTCTTAATTTGTAACATTGACCAGTGCAATACCTTCCTCTTTCCTTTGTAAGACATAAATTATTTAATAAGTTCTGTTGTATTTATGTAACTTGGATGAATTTAATAAAAGATTATTATGAAGAAATTCATATGAGAACTAATGTGGATGTCACAAAAAATTTAATTACTTTGTTTTTAACTACAATTTATAAATGAGACAACTGTTTTTGAAGAAATACTGTGTTATTAGCCCCCCCATCGGTTCCCAGGGTTTGCACTCTGTCCGTCCGACCTCCCATCTTTTGTCCTGTGCATATCTTCTATACTATTTCACTTGGAGTAACTAGATTTGGTGTACAAGGACATCCTTGGATGGTGGATTGTAGAGTGCAAGAATTGGGTCACTGTCACCTTATGACTTGACCTTTGACCTTAACGTTTGAAAAAGTGTGTCCGGGCATATCTTCTGTACTATTTCACCTGGAGTAACCAGATTTGCTGTACAAGGACACCTTTGGATGGCGGAGTGCAGAGTGCAAGAATTAGGTCACTGTGACCTATGACTTGACCTTTGACATCTACTTTTGAAAAAGTTTGTCTGGGACATATTTTCTACACTTTTCACCTGAAGTAACCAGATTAGGTGTACAAGGACATCTTGGTATAGTGGATTGCAAGAAGTATGTATTTTCAGGATATTTTCCTAACAGGAGGTACATCCAGACATAAGTGTACTGTTTGTTAAATAAAGAAATCATTACTGGTGGGGGACTATGGATTGCTTTGCAATACTTTTCCTTGTTGATCAAAGAAGTGCCTTGATCTTTAACAAGCTCTACCCAACATCTACATTTGTTTGATCATGGATGATAATTACCTATGTGTAGACGTTTCTGTTATAATACCATACATACCTGGTAATTATCAAATAAGGAGGTCAATTTATGTATATGTACTTTTTAGAATTGTTTAATATCTAGAATCTCACTTTGGGTCTGTTTATGGATTCCAAAAGATTGAACAAATCTTATTGAAGTTTAACTGGTTACATATCTGATGGTATATTTCTGAGAGTTCTGCTTAAAGACATTTGACCACAAATCATAGCTATCATGATTTACCTAAAAAAAAATAAGTACAAAATTTTGGAGACATGATTTATGAGATTTGTGAAATTTCACACCTGTTGCTCTAGCTAGCTTGCAGGGCAAGAGTGTAAATGTTTGTCATTCAAGTTCTTTTCCATTCACTCAAGAAAATGTTACGTCCTAGCCAAGTGTTTAAGATATTTTTGTTATTAGATATGAGTCTATTGTATGCTAATGTTTGTGCCATTATTCAAAATTTAGGTTTAAAGTGAACAACTATGGATTATGAAACTGTCATAAGTTAATCTGTACAAGTCTGCAACTAGAAATTCTATCATAATATTGCAGTAGTTTTATTGGATGCAATACCAATTTTCATAAAATGTTTCTAGATATTATCTATCTAGATATTTAAGTGTGAAATCCAGTTGTAACAAATGAGAATTTTACCAAAGTCTGAATTGATTTGATTGGTTACACATCCCTGACTGGCCAATGATATAACGAAATTGTATACATTCATGAGCCATTGAACTTATTAAAGGTGTTGCTGCATGTTTTTTAAGATATTAAATTCCATTGCCTATCATTGCAATATTTGTTTTTGTATATTTTCCTCCTCCAGAATGACCTTTAGCTCTACATGGATGATTAAATTGCTGCTCCATTTTATGATCAATTTTATGGAATTTTGTATTTGCTGTACATGTATGTAGTATGGAATTTTATATTTGCTGTACATGTAGTATTGAATTTTATATTTGCTGTACATGTAGTATTGAATTTTATATTTGCTGTACATGTAGTATGGAATTTTATATTTGCTGTACCTTTAGCTCTACATGGATGATTAAATTGCTGCTCCATTTTATGATCAATTTTATGGAATTTTGTATTTGCTGTACATGTAGCATGGAATTTTGTATTTGCTGTACATGTGGTATGGAATTTTGTATTTGCTGTACATGTGGTATGGAATTTTGTATTTGCTGTACATGTGGTATGGAATTTTGTATTTGCTGTACATGTGGTATGGAATTTTGTATTTGCTGTACATGTAGTACGGAATTTTGTATTTGCTGTACATGTATGGAGTATGGAATTTTGTATTTGCTGTAAATGTATGTAGTATGGAATTTTGTATTCGCTGTACATGTAGTATGGAATTTTGTATTTGCGGTACATGTATGTAGTATGGAATTTTGTATTCGCTGTACATGTAGTATGGAATTTTGTATTTGCCGTACATGTATGTAGTATGGAATTTTTTATTTGCTGTACATGTAGTATGGAATTTTGTATTTGCTGTAAATGTATGTAGTATGGAATTTTGTATTTGCTGTACATGTAGAATGGGATTTTGTATTTGCTGTAAATGTATGTAGTATGGAATTTTGTATTCGCTGTACATGTAGTATGGAATTTTGTATTTGCCGTACATGTAGTATGGAATTTTGTATTTGCCGTACATGTAGTATGGAATTTTGTATTTGCTGTACATGTAGTATGGGATTTTGTATTTGCTGTACATGTAGTATGGGATTTTGAGCTCACCAGGTACAAAATGTAAAGTCCCTGTGAGGTTATGCTATGTTGTGGTGTGCATCATCAACATTAAATTAATTTTCAATACAAAACTTTAAAGACTTGCCTGATAAGTCATATCTGGTCTTTCAGTTGTTGTGGTGAAGGGCTATGGGAGTTATTTAAACAATTTTTTTTACACATTTTCAAAGTTTATAAGTCCAAGAGGTTATGTGAAAAACTTCAAACAGCTTCTACAGAATCAAAAGGTCTATGATTTTTCCCCGACTAATTTCCAGGTATTTTACCTGTATCTTACAGAAGTTGGGAGCTATCAAGTTTGTTCAGATGAATACCATTGACTCACAGTGTCGTGGGTCAAACATGATCAACATCTAATGACCAAAAGATTGCTGTTACTGTGTTGGAGAGCTATCTATCTTCTAAACTAATTTCAAGGCCAATTGTGTTCCAAACTTGAAATGAAATCTACAGGACTTTGAAGACGATATTTGTCTAGCTTGCTGCGATAAAAGCTTATCAAGCGTGTTAAAATGTACAGAAAAGTAAAAAAAAACACCAACAAAATATAGGTGATAAATTAAGGCCTTTGGGCCTTTTGTTTTAATTCATACAGAACAATAACATAATTTAAATGTTCTGTCATAGATGAAGATTGTTCAATTTGGTGTCGTTTCATTTATATCTATGACCGTAATAGAATAAGCTTGTGAAATATCAGTAAAAAGTTGCACATAAGAGTAGAAATAATCCCCCACCAACTAAGTCGGGCAAATTATGGCTTTGCTAGCTTTCAAAAGTTTCAGTAGTCCTGATCATGATAGGTGTGTGGTCTGAACAAAAAATTGAGTATCATCAATAATTTAATATTGTTTGTAATAGGATTTTACATTGGTTTGTGTTGACAGTCTATCAAGTGATATTCCAAAAAAAATGAGAACATATGTACCCAAAAAAAGAAGTCATCTGTCACACTTGATTAATCACCTGCAACCACATTTTTGACATTGAATTATACTCAATTTTAGAACCGATGATTAACTTAACATCTTTGTAAAAAGTTGCTCAAAAATGTAAGCAAATATAGATAATTTGTTGATGCAGCTGAATTACTAAGGTAGTCAGTGTTTGGAAAAGATTTTTATAATGTATAAACATATTGATCTTCATGCAATCCTATTTTTACAACATTTCCTACTTTTATGGTTTTTATGACATCATCAATAATTATTGAATTGACACTTAGTTTTAGATAAGTGTTAATATTTTCATGTGGAAAGCATTGAAATAAGATTTGACATGTAAATTTCATAAAATCTTCACTTTGATTTTTTTTTTTATAAACGGACTTGCACATAATGCGATGACATTTGAAATAACCAGATATCAGTATATGAGCATGCTGGTATGTGCTCTATGTGTGAATTGAAAAATATCACATGTAAAAATGAGGTTTTGCCAATGTGTGACACTGGAATGTATACACCTGTTTTAACAATCACATACCTGTACATAGGAACTGTATTTATACCTGTGTAGTACCTACCACCTGTAATTGTTATGCACAGCTTGTGTATAGCCTTAAATAAAATGATCTGCAGAAATAACCAGTTGTTAAAATTTGTATAATTCATTGCAGGTGAAATATTTCTAATACTAAAACTACCTGGTTGCTGTTACATTAGGTTTATTAATCAATGCAATATTCAACCTTTTATAAGCCGACCTATCCCTAATTCTACTTGCTTTAGTAAAGGTTATCTCTCCAATAAAATGTTGACTTCAATCTATCTTAAATCACCATTGTATTAAGCCCGTTTCCCTTTACGCTGTACAATGCATACTGGACTTTCAAGGTCAAATATAGTAATAGAGGTAACCTCTAGTATCAGAAGTGTGGAGCAGCACAGATTTAGGATGTTAACTGTATTATTCTATTATTATGCAAGAACTATTATAACAATTAAGAAAAGGTATACTGTAACTTCTGCAAGTTTCATCAAAAGTTAAACATTGTTAAGTTTAAAATTGACAGCCAAACAAATATTCACTAATAATTTGGCACTGACTGACCTTTGAACTTGAGACAAAGGTCACTGTTACATAAATAATGTGAACTGCACATTTTATGTGGGTAATGAGGTACAGGTGATTAATTTTTATTGAGATATCTTCAATGATTTAAAACTGACAGCCCACTTAGCATATCACCGATTTTCATTTCAAAATATTTTATTTAAATCAATTGATTCAGATTATTTGCACCAATTTGAGCTTGGGAGATGAAGGTCACTATAATCTAAATAGTTAACTGCACACTTTTTGTGGTTTGATACAGAATTACTTCTAAGTTTCCTCTTTGGATTTGAAGGAGAAACATATTTAATTAAAACTTACATACCATGGTAATCAAAATACCCAGAAGTTGAGCTCCATATTTTGAGAAATTTAATGTTATCAAAATAAGTGATTAATTGAATCATTTTTATGTTTTTCAATCACAGGAAAGAGTTACTGTTTTTTTTCCCATGCTATCATTCTTTCACTCTCTTAACAGTTTAAATTGACACTATAACTTTTGCAATATCACGGCCCAGTTTCCCTGGTCATAGTAACCGTCCTGTACCCGACAGTTGTCCAGTCTCCCACACAGAGCCTCCAGCTCTCCCTGTCGGAACACGTGGTAGTATCGGTGGAACACTGGGTCAGCTTTGTCCTTCACACTGGCCCCCTCCTCCTCCATCCCCTTCTTCTTTAGCTGCCACGGTACGAACATGTCTTGCTGTTTAAAGCTGGTCCTGTTTTTGTGTACCTCTAACATCTTTCTACTATTTTGTGCTCTGTCGGAACATTCACAGCTGTGACCTTGGGCTTGTCCTGATGCATTTACACAAAGCTCACATGTCTCTGTTGAGTCCGATGTTGCTAACCTATCACAAGACAGTGGTGTAAGTATAACCTCCTGTCCATCTACACGGTCATTCTCACTATGTCCCATGTTAACAGAAATCGTTTTCTCCTCATCTGGTTCTCCTTTTGACAAGGATAAACCATTAAGTTGTGTTGCTACATCTTTTTCTGATGAGTCTCTCGGTGTATCGTTTACCTTGACCTGTTTCACTTCTGTATCCGTGTCATTGGTACTTCTATCAATATAATCTGTGACCTTAATCTCTTTTAAATATTTAGATTTGACTTTATGTAGTTCCTGTTCCATTGCCCATACATAAATGAGAGCTTTACCTCCAGGACGTAGGATACGCAATAGTTCTGATAATCCATGTAGTCTTCTCTCCTATTACAAAAATACAGGTAAAAAATATTGATAAAGATAGTCTGTACATTTAGCGGATTCATAATCAATTTTAGTTATATTCAATGCAGTATTACAAAATCTTTGGTATATTTCTCAAGTATAAACCATAGATAAAAAATTCTGTATTTTTACTATTGATACTAGAGTTTATCAAGAAATGTAGGCCTTTGATTATAACTAATTTAGCCTTATTTTTATGAAGAATCTGAAAGGTAATCATGATTGCTAACAATTAACTTTAAGTTCTTGGTCCTAGCATAAATAGCGTGACATTTATGTTGGAAAATTTATTTAATTCATAAGCCCTGGCTGAATTGCACTCTGGTCAAAAATATATAAATCAATCATAAATTTTGAGAAGTACAAATGAATTTTAGTTAGTGTATAAGTATTTAAACTCTGGAGATGATATTTCTGGCCATACCTATGTAGACTGCATTTAAGGATTTAAACTCTGAATGAAGATGGCATATGAGGCCTTACCTCTGTAGAGAGATGGTGTAGCACAGCTATACACAGACAAACATCACAGACTCCAGATCTGATAGGTATAGACATAACATCACCGACAAACACTGGGAAATCTCGACTCTCACAGATCTTGACCAGATTTAAACTCCGATCAGACCCCACCTACAAAACACAAAGGATCAGTTTATGATGAGATGTTCAGGAAATAACATTATGACAGCAGATTAAGCAACGGGAAAAAAATTAAGCTATAGGCTGGGGTGGGATGTTGTGATTTATACAACATTGAACGTCCTTGTACAAACAATGCTTCCTACCAAATAAGTTTAAAGATTCTTATTTTAACCATACATAGACTTTTTAAGATTCACTCCTAATTTGGACCATCCCTCCAGGGCATCATATATAACCTTTGATTGAAATAACACTGAGTCCATTTGGCCCAAGGATGCTCCGTGCTAAATTTAAACAAATTTCCTTCATCTGTTCTGGTCAGGAAGTCTTTATGACATGAGACGGCAGACTAATGATGAATGCCATACCATAGCAGCATTAACATAAAAGGTGAGTAAAAAGTAATGAGAAAAGTGTCCACATTGTAGATATAGCTGACATCATTTGAACAATGTTCTCAGCAGTTTTACGGTGAACCTCAATGTCACACATGTGCGGATGTTGAGAAGATTGGGTGCTGATCTATAAAAGAATAATTTAAAAATGTAAAATATATAGTAAAATAAAAACCGATAGAAAGAGTTTTACCTCAAATATGTCCTTGTTTATGCCAAGGTACTTGCCGTTGCCACAGCCGATGTCTGCCAGAATGGACCCTGTTGGTTGTGATCTGATAAAATCTGCTATTCGTGGCCAGGGACTATGCCGGGTCCCACTGAAATGGTCTGCTATTTCTTCATACACCTTGCAAAAATACATTATACTTGTCTAAACAATATGTACTTATCATCCTAAAGTGTTATTGAATAAAATATTTTTTTATCAAAGCCAGACTATTTGTCTTCATTTTACTCTCTAATAAAGAAGGTAACTGTTCCAAATAAACATGATGAGTATCAATTCTCTTTTCGAATTAAAATAGATCCTATTTTGTGAAATATTTCTTGATATTTCTTGATCCAAATAATTGAGGATGTACAAGGAAAAGAATACAATGCACTAGCTAACTGGAGCCAGTTGCTCAAAAGAGTATCAACATCTTAACACAAAACTTTAATCTAGTACATTTTCAAAAAGATGTAAACACTAAAACTGTTATATATAGCAATTCAAAATCATTATCTACGATGATTAACAAAAACGTATTACATGTAGTAAATGTTCCAATATTTTTGCTAAAATTACAATTTAAACATTTGTTTAAGTAATATGTTCAGCTATTCAGCCTATGAACATTTAGACAGAGAAAAGAAAGGTTAGAGTTTGTAGTACCTGATGTACATGTGTCTGTTTAGTGTGTGTGTATGGTACCTTATGTACATGTGTCTGTAATACCTGATGTACATGTGTCTGTTTAGGGTGTGTGTATGGTACCTGATGTACATGTGTCTGTTTAGTGTGTGTATGGTACTTGATGTACATGTATATGTTTAGTGTGTGCATGGTACCTGATGTATGTGTATCTGTTTAGTGTGTGTATGGTACCTGATGTACATGTGTCTGTTAAGTGTGTGTGTATGGTACCTGATGTAAATGTGTCTGTTTAGTGTTTGTATGGTACCTGATGTACATGTATCTGTTTAGTGTGTGAAATACCTAATGTACATGTGTCTATTTAGTGTGTGTGTATGGTACCTGATGTACATGTATCTGTTTAGTGTGTGTAATACCTGATGCACATGTATCTGTTTAGTGTGTGTGTATGGTACCTGATGTACATGTGTCTGTTTAGTGTTTGTATGGTACCTGATGTACATGTTTCTGTTTAGTGTGTGTGTATGGCACCTGATGTACATGTGTCTGTGTAGTGTGTGTATGGTACCTGATGTCCACGTGTCTGTTTAGTGTGTGTCGTACCTGATGTACATGTGTCTGATTAGTGTGTGTGTATGGTACCTGATGAATATGTGTCTGTTTAGTGTGTGTGGTTCCTGATGTACATGTGTCTGTTTAGTGTGTTTAATACCTTAATACCTGATGCACATGTATATGTTTAGTGTGTGTGTATGGTACGTGATGTACATGTGTCTGTTTAGTGTGTGTATGGTACCTGATGTACACGTGTCTGTTTAGTGTGTGTGGTACCTGATGTACATGTGTCTGTTAAGTGTGTGTGGTCCCTGATGTACATGTGTCTGTTTAGTGTGTGTGTATGGTACCTGATGTACATGTATCGGTTTAGTGTGTGTAATACCTGATGTACACGTGTCTGTTTAGTGTGTGTGAATTACCTGATGTACATGTGTCTGTTTAGTGTGTGTGTGTAGTACCTGATGTACATGTGTCTGTTTAGTGTGTGTGTATGGTACCTGATGAATATGTGTCTGTTTAGTGTGTTTTATACCTGATGTACATGTGTCTGTTTAGTGTGTGTATGGTACCTGATGAATATTTGTCTGTTTAGTGTGCGTATGGTACCTGATGTATATGTGTCTGTTTAGTCTGTTTTATACCTGATGTACATATGTCTGTTTAGTGTGTGTAATAACTGATGTACATCTATCTGTTTAGTGTGTGCGTGTAGTACCTGATGTGCATGTGTCTGTTTAGTCTGTTTTATACCTGATGTACATATGTCTGTTTAGTGTGTTATATACCTGATGTACATATGTCTGTTTAGTGTGTGTAATACCTGATGTACATGTGTCTATTTAGTGTGTGTGTATGGTATCTGATGTACATGTGTCTGTTTAGTGTGTTTAATACCTGATGTACATGTGTGTGTTTAGTGTGTGTGTGTAGTACCTGATGTACATATGTCTGTTTAGTGTGTGTGTATGGTACCTGGTGAATATGTGTCTGTTTAGTGTGTATGGTACCTGATGTATATGTGTCTGTTTAGTGTGTGTATGGTACCTGATGTACATGTGTCTGGTTAGTGTGTGTATGGTACCTGATGTACATGTATCTGTTTAGTGTGTGTATGGTACCTGATGTACATGTATCTGTTTAGTGTGTGTATGGTACCTGATGTACATGTGTCTGGTTAGTGTGTGTATGGTACCTGATGTACATGTATCTGTTTAGTGTGTGTATGGTACCTGGGGTACATGTGTCTGTTTAGTGTGTGTAATACCTGTTGTACATGTGTCTGTTTAGTGTGTTTAATACCTGATATACATGTGTCTGTTTAGTGTGTGTAATACCTGATGTACATGTGTCTATTTAGTGTGTGTGTATGGTACCTGATGTACATGTGTCTGTTTAGTGTGTTTAATACCTGATATACATGTGTCTGTTTAGTGTGTGTAATACCTGATGTACATGTGTCTGTTTAGTGTGTTTAATACCTGATGTACATGTGTCTGTTTAGTGTGTGTAATACCTGATGTACATGTGTCTGTTTAGTGTGTGTAGTTCCTAATGAACATGTGTCTGTTTAGTGTGTGTATGGTACCTGATGTACATGTGTCTGTTTGGTGTGTGTATGGTACCTGATGTACATGTATCTGTTCCAGGGATGCAGCATCAGCTTCTGACTGAGGAAGTTTGGTGGGGTTAGGCTGTCTGAAAAATAATATACTCAAAATATAGATTTCTATAAAAAAAATCCTCTATAGTTGTTGTTTTAACGCAGTACACATATCAATTAACATTTATCTGTAACTGCACTTCAATTTCATCAAAATTTGATATTGATTTCCATCCCAATGCTTTACATTTGTAATTCAATGCTTAGCACGCACTCATATCCAAATGCTTTTTAACACTTTACATTTATAGCTTAACACTACACACATAATAATATGCTTCACCCTAATCATTCTACCTACATCAATACAATTTATTTAGTGAAAACAATATGTGTCTCCGATCCTAGTAATATTTTGTTAACAACAATTAAGTGTCTTCTCTTTTCCAATATCAAAAATTGTCCAAAGCAGATATCTTTTACAATAACTGAATAAATACAAATTAATAGAAACTCATTTGTCAAAAATGCTCTAATAAAATAAAATTGCTGTAAAATAGAAATATTAGGTAAGGAATTTCGTAATTACCTATTTTCTGTGGTAAATGGTATGTGACGGTTTATTCTGTCATTTGGTGGGATGACTTTTCTGAACGTATAAGAGGTACGAGTGCCCCGGTGTGCGATGGTCAGCCTGCCGTCAGGAGTTGGGAGGATGTCCGATTTGCGTGGAGTGATCCCATGTGACCAGAGGTAGCGTGATTCCCCTGTCATTATCAGCAGGCTTCCAGGTGGTAACAATACAGAGAGGTGTTTACCATCCGGGTGACGGAAATCCATCAACACCTTAGATAGGAAAACATTCAACTGATACAGGGCCCTATCAGTATTTTACTGGTACATTTATCTTCGTATTTTCATACAGAGGGTATATATTGAGATTAAATCAGTATACAAAATTAGTGCTGCCCCATGCATGCAATGAAAAAATGTAGGACTATAACAAAATATTGATATGTTGACTTGTTTGACCCATTCACCCCTAAAGTCACATTTGAACCTTACCAAATCAAAGACTGGGCAAGTTCAGTTTAGAAACGTAGGGATGAATGAGTTACCGGTATGTAGATTACTATTTTTTTTGATTTTACATTACTGATTAGCATCTCCCTCTTAGTTTTGATTACTCACACTGTTAAATGTCCATAATTCAATGTACAACACTGGCTGTGAAACTGACTGTTTTAGAAATAAGGGGAAGAAGATAAAGGTGAATACATACGGGAACATATATCTTACATTATGACATTTTTTGGTAAACCCCAAATGAGTGTATAAGGTTTGTTCCCTAGTTTATTATACATGGGAGATGGGAGGCACCTGACCTGTAATAATATACATGTATTATGGGTGATGAGGTTAAAACAAGATCTGCCTGGATACACATATAGGATGATCTGTATACGTTATACTATACTATTATACAGTATATACACATTATCACTTTTATATTTTATAGGCGAGTGTCTCTGACAGAGTGTCCCATATCTCCCCTACAGTTACAGTGTAATTCTTGACTGGCAGCCTTAACCAGATTGAGCTGAACTATCACATGTACCTGTGAACCAAGACTAAGAGACATGATTCCATCTTCAAAAGCAGCAGGGGTATCTACATGGGGAGGTATACCTGCAAAATACATGGAACATTTTTCTTTAAATAAGGTCAAATAAACTATACATGTATTATGGTTCTGCTTTTGGCTCTTAAAAAGGTAGTATAGGGAGCTAGTTAGGCAAAACTTTTCACTTTGCAAAAGAGGTTTATACTTGGGTTTACAGAAAAGATGTTAAAACTTAAACACTGATTTTCTAAAATAATCAGAACAGAAATGGAACAAAAAAGAATGATGATTGTGTCCATTCTGACTGGTCATACATCAGATTGATCTAGTTCACTAGGGGTGATGACCTTCCAACTAAACTACTTTTGACAGAAAATTCTATCCCACAGCTAAACAATGCTTTGTTTCATAAAAAGATTATTAAAAAGATTACCTCTAAAAAAAGCAAGCAGAACATGCCATGGATTTTGTTTGTTCAGAATTAAAGCCTACAGGGTAGTAAGTACAGGTTATTATCATGTATCTGTACCTTGTCCTGGCTGATATTTGTTGACTGTGACTTGGTCTGGCAGATATTTGACATGCCCTGTTTTTAAGGCTCTACCCAGAAGCTCCTGACAGATGTCTGGAACACCCTGTGGCAAAGGATCATCGACATCCACATCATTGATTCCGTATTTGAATTCGTAACCATAATGCTTCACTTGTCTGTGCTTCAGTTCTTTCTGCAGACCTGACAAATAAAGTATTCTTTGGTCTGTACACAGACTTCAGAAACATAATACTGAATAACTGACATTCAATCAACAGATTATCAAACAGGGTTTTAAATAGGAACAAGATCTAAAGGTGAAACAGCCATGGTAGCAGAATACAGCTTACACAGAAAATACACATGAAACTGAAAGTACATTTTCCATTAAATTATTTAAGGAGAACCTAAAATATTCTGTCCGGCATCGACCGACCCACCAAAGACAACATGCTTCACTAACTTCTTTAATACAAAATCACAGTAATAGAGTTAAATTTCAGCTTACATTTCAGTTGTTACACCTACTCTTTCAGAACTTTTTAAAATGTTTGGGATGGCACATGAAGCCCCAGTTTGTCTGTCTATGCTACACAAAATTAATATTATTTTTGGCCTAATATTTACAAAAAAAATATATTTAGTTACCTTGTGACGTGTCTTCATCCCATTTAATGGATTCTAGCAGTCTACGGGCAAAGTCCTCGGTGATAAAGTCCCTAATGAGTATGAGGCCGGGAGGGAGATCTTTAGAGGGTGACAGGCTCGGAGGAACTTTGGAATATAATAACAATAACACTCATCAGACAAATTGTATGCTATATCATTGCAAAACATTAAAAACAAATAGAACTCTTTTTAAAGAGCCTGGCCACTTTTTATAATGGCCCCACTATTTCGGAGTAAGTCATATTATTTCATAAGTCATCTTATTACCTTGACTGACATAAGATATGTATATTGTCACAGGCCACTTTCTATTATCATTTTCAGGCAATGTTTGCCCATTTAAGTTTCCATATGCAACCTCTGCTTCATCCTCATGTCTGTAACACACAAAGGCATATGGTTTCTGAGGCATCATGATCACATCCTCAACGCTGCCATATATTGTAAAAAGTTCATGCACCTCATCCCTGGACACACAGCTATCAAGACCTGCATTGTTGATACAAAGGATCTGGAAATACAGAAATAGTTATGAATCTATCAGAAACATGACTGTCTCACATAAAGGTTACATGTTCAGTTTTATATTAGAATGTGGTCCCTCCTTATATCAGAACCTGGTCGTATCTTGTTTACATGGTTAAACTTCTGTGTAATTCAAGTACCTGGTACAGCAGGACTTTGGTGTCCAAAGAAACACTATAGATAATCGTCAAAGTGTGAAATACTGAAAACCCTATTTGTTTTATAATTCCTTTTGGTGTAAATAATTGAATCTTAAACAAAATACAAGATTTTACTAGAGATATCTCAACAAAAGCACCATACAGCAGAGCACTATACAACTTTATACAACGTGTCAGTGTGGAAAACTCCTCAACAAAAGCATTGACAAGTGTTGGGGAAAACTAGGAATTTTAATACAATGACTTTAAAATCAACACAACAACCACTGTAAACAGAAAGCATGAATATTCTAAACATGTTACAGTGGTCATTATTTTTCACTGCCTTAACAGGATAAAACCTTGGAACTCTCGTTTACTAAATGAGCTAAAGAGAAATTCTATCTAGATGAGTCAATAGGACCCAGCTAATGTTTTGCCAGATTTTTCTTTAGTTACCTAAGTAAAAAAGTAATGTTTGTGACAGCAAGGCTGATTATTTTTGTCAACATTTCCCAAGCAATACATAGATGCAAGTGTAACAGAGTATATTTCTGTGGCTCCACCAGGGATTAGCCTTCCTGTGATCTCAGTCTGTTGCTCTACTGAATTACTTGAGTTATAGGGCAATTCTCCCGGACTAAATAGGTGGAATCGGCCAGTTTTTCAAACTATTACACTATAGCTTCCAATTAGAATCCAAGTGTTGCAGTTTAAAGGGCTGATCTCCAGATATGAGGGGCAGGGCCAAAAAGATTTTTTAAATAAAATTTGACATTATCAAGATCTCCACCCTATTACCATGTATACAATTGCTGAGCATCAAGAAACAAACACAATCATGATATATATATAAGAATTGACTCTGGGGTCAGGTCCCAACCCTAGGGACTTATTCGTGAGCAATAACTTTGAAACTGATGAGATATTCACCCCACAACCATATACCATTGCTTTGCATCAGGACAATAACACAATTAAGATATTAGGATTGATTCTGAAGTCCAGCCCTACCTCTCGAGGCTTCATAACTTTGAAATGGTTTTGAGATCCCAACCCTAGCCATCTATCTGTCAAAATGTCTAAGTCTGGTGTCAGAGCCAGAGAACACTCGGGCTATGTATCTACTAGATCTGGGAATGGTTCTGTTGTTATTTTTTTTTTATCTATCTATCTACTATTTATATTCAACAGAGACCAGAATGGCTTCAGGGGGGGGGGGGGGGGGGGGGNTACACAGATTGTGAGCTGCTTTGGATTTTAACAAGTGTATAGCATCGTTGTTAATTATTTATGTCTCTTATAATATTGCAAGCCGTTGACACTTAATCACCGCCAAATATGATGCCATATGACCCAAGATCGACTGACATCATGACATAGGGTGGTTACCAGCTCTGAGCTTGATTATAATGACAATGACGTCTACAAATTTCATTCTTGTGGCTTACTTTAGTAGGAATATCGGAAGCCTTTATTCCATCATGCTTTAACAATGTATGTTGAGACTTCGTTTGCTTTTTCCGTAACTTTCTCTCTGATTTTGATAATTTCGTCATGTTTTGACCGTCAATCATGGAGGCTGCCATCTTTGATAATCTCTAAAACCTGGTTTAGATCATTTTATTTTATTTATGAATATATTATTTTCTTTTCGTATAAAATTTGAAAAGAACAATAAATTTGGTATTTTAGGCATAATTTTTATTAGAAAATAGCAGAAATACATTTATAGAAATGATACAATTCCTGTTTGTAGACTATTTGTACGTGACGTCATTGAAGCAAGTGTGTCCGAGGAAAAATGGCGGTAGCTCTGCACTGCAAAACATGGGAAAAATCGGGGAGAACCGAGTTGTAAGTCTCGTAGCAATCGCCGGTTTTCATATTTCCATCGAAACTGATGTATTTAAGAAACTACCCGACCCAAATAATGGTGAAAACTATCGATATTGCGATGTCATGCAACATTTTATGTTCTTGTCCTTTCATGCGGTTATTTTCTTAAGAGCAGGAGCGAGGAAAACGTACCGAACAAATATTATTGATTTTCAATGAAAGAAGCAATTGTAATTGAACCTCGTACGAGAGATTTGTTTATCATAGTTTCGTAAAACGCCCGTGCACATCGTCTCTTGACATTAGCACTAGGTTGCTTATTTGGCACTGAGCACGACAGCTTTATAGCCACTATGTACTAGTATATAACTCGGCACTCCAATATCGACAACTACCCCTAGCCACGACTACCCTGGCCACGACTAGCACTGCTATGTACCGCGACACCTTCTGTCTGATTGTATCTTTCTTCAGCACTCAACCGTTTATTAAATATGTCTACCACGGCAGTGTTTGGATCAAGGCAAGACTTATTCAGTCACTTCTATCTTTCCAAAACAAAGCCTGTTTAATATATACTACTCACGATCTATCGCTGCTGTTTATAGTCTACACTTCACTGACAAAGTCTGTTCGGTCGACTTGAGGGGGGTAATTAAGCGCCAGCTTACCGGGCCCTCAGATTAAAAAAGTCCTGCCCATCCAGGTCATGCTCTAAGGTCGGACAGCTCCTTAGATGCGGACAGGCTGTCACAGCTACTGTGGTCACACGTACGGGAACACATCCTTTCTGTAGTCCCCGCTGCCCTCAAGAGTGTGACTGTTGCTGGTTTCTGCCTATTTATACCCTCTGGCTATCTTAGTGATACCTAGCTGTGAGTGAGGTATACTCACCTGTACGTTTTAATTGTACCTCTAAAGCTATCTGTCTTCTAAGCGTGTGAATTACAAAGACATAACACAAATGATTAACGCCAACAGATCAACGTATCTAACCTGAATATCATACGAAATCAGCGAAGGTTGGATTACGATATATACATCCATCACAATACACTGTATACCCACACCGATACATAGGTGGTTACAGTAAGGAACGACAAACCAAAACACTGACTTTGTTCTCATTTTAGCATTTTCCATGACTCAAATAAAGGGACAGAATTAAAAAATAATTTGCAAATTTGTCGGGATAATATGTTTGAAATAAGTCTTTTTAACAAATCTAAAAAGGGAGATATCAAATTCCTGATCATTTCTACATGTCATCACAAATTTCCCTAATGTAAGTGTACCTAAAATGGAACTAGGCTCAAAATAAAGATGTTTCATTTGTACAGTACAGATGTTTTTTAGCTGTACCATAATTATATGGTATCTTTTCAAAATCAAAATTCAAGCAATAGGAGAACATTTTATCTGCCCATCTCTTATACTTTGTTCAGTACATAGAGCTGGGACAGCTAGGTAACCGAATACCCGATTGCAATGCATTTATGAGTACTATCCGATTAGCATATCTACGTATCTGAAAACGTCCCAAAATGTAGGTCAATACTTATTGATTTTCTTAGTCAGAAATGTCTCCAAACTACTGTTCGACAGCCCTCGACAAAAACTTGTGATCAGTATATATACTTGCCGTACCATTGAGTGCGCATATACCATAAAGTTTGAATGTAAATATGATATCGACTGACATTCCAGGGATCAATCTAGACTTTATTCACTACCAATTATGGGTAGTTTCCCCTACAGAAGAAAATTCCCGTCCCTTTAAATTCTCCCTATTTCAACTAAAAAGGCAGTTTTTCTTCAAAAGAGTTCCCCTATATATGTCTTCTTTAAAGTTCAACAGCTAAAATGCATAATACTGCATATATGCATTTTCTTGACATTAATTAAAACAGAAATTCTACAGTTTCAATAATAAAATTGTTTACAAATTGAAATTTACTGCACACCATGTATGTCGGACAAAGCATTTATTTTTTACCTTCATGACGCTAGAGCCTTGTATCAAAATTTGATTTCCCCAAAATCTGAAAAAGGGTAGTTTCCCCTAAAACTTAGATTGATCCCTGCATTTACCTGCAGCTATTGTCTGTGTTCCGACCGGAAGTGATGCACAGAAATATGCATGTGCATAGCGTTGACAACACATGAATGTATAAAAAAGTGAAGCTACCAAAACTTTCCATGCAAAAGGCTAGCAATATGAAGCCAATTCATAAAGATTCTGAGAATTTGTTATAACAGTATCTTTGTTTATGCATTTAGTGAATTAAGTAATCATATTATTATTAAAATAAAGGGCCATTGGTGGCTGTATTTCATGACACAAAAACACTTTTACCCCGTTTTGGTTCAGATAATTGCATACGGTTATCTGACTTGCATTATTTGTAACCATTGTAGCCCTATACAGGTCCAGTACACTCTGCCGATTGAGCTATATAGCTATAAAGACCTATATAGCTATATACACCTATAAATTATAGCTGTATTGAGCTATATTTTCTCAGATTTTAAATTTCATTAAATTAAAGCAAAGTCGCATAAAAAAAAAGGTTTATGGTAATGTTGACTACAAAGAGCATACAGTTAGATGTTTATTTTCAGTTTTCATAAATGTAAATTTACCGATTCCTTAACATCATTATTTTTTTAAAAGAATACTTATATTTAACGTCTTTTGTTATCAACCTAATGATACAATCTTCTTTTAAAAGCGACTTTGTTCAGTTTTCCTTAAAAAAGAAAATCACTTGAAAATAGCTCAAAAGACCTATTTCAGATAGGTCAATAGAACTATTATAGGTCTTTACAGCTATATAGCTCAATCGGCAGAGTGTACTGGACCTGCTATAAGTAAGTCATTTAAAAAAAGGGAACTTTTCACATCTGTATATCCAAACTGCATTAAGATAGACACTAATTAAAATCTAAGGTAGGTAACTCACTAGGTACAATGTACCAGAAACAGGTATTATTTTGAGACCTTTGGGGATTCAGAATATGAGTTTGACAAGTACTTAAACCAATAATGGTTTTCATTTCAGTCTGAAGCTGTGTAAAAATTCAGCAGAAAACAATGGTTTATGGAGCCAAGGCCCCAAGTCTCTGTCTCGCACCCTGTATGACCTGTGCTGGCAAGTTATCAAGGGCCAGTTAAAACCAGAACAGGCCCTTTCTGCATTAGGTGAAGCATCGGTAAGTCAGTGTTTATGAGATTAATATTCCCGGCAAAAAAATGTTACTGCATAATAAAAACTTGTTGATGATACGCAACAGGTTATACAATTTTAACATTATTTTTTTAGACAGTTTATGGTATAAACAGTATTTCAAATTTATGAAAATTTTCATTTTCCTCAAGTGGCACTTTTTATCTCCTTTAAAAGATGCTAGCCGTGTCACTCAAAAGATCAAAAGCACATTCAGTACAGCTAATACCCTTTAGTTAGCCACAATCTTAGGAACAAGTTTTGTTAAGACTCTTTACAATTACTTCGTTTTAATACTGCTGCTTCCAACACCTCAGATAAAGTCTCTGTTCTAGTCTTTTTTGTTAAAGAAAAATATTGATGTCCTTTCAGGATGCACACAAAGGAATTCCCAGTGTTTTGGCTGATGTTTATGGAACTATTGGTAAGTGTAACTGTTTATTTAATGTTTCCAAGCAATACATTCATTCTGAAATTTTGTTCAGGATGACTTTAATGTATACATGATATTGATGATCTATTCTTGTCATGTGTACCGCTGATCTACAACTTATTTTTAAGCGCTCTTGGCGAGAGCCGAGCGGCTTATTAATTGTGTCCAGAGAACGAGATGACAGACCCACTTCCGTTCGGGGTGCGTGCGCATAATTCAGTCTTGCATGCTTCCGCTATATAGTTTCGTTATCGTAAATAGAAAGTAGAATCTCTGACACTCACCTGTTGGTTACATAAAGTCTTCTGATACTCTTCTCCAAATAATAATCCATACTTTAAATAATTGCTGAAAACAAAATGTTTATCTCTGGTGCATTCTACGAGTGTTGTTATGGTGAAATTTGTGCACTGGGTTTGAGTGTTTTAGCAACTCGGATTGAGGTCTGAGGAAGTTTACGCGTGTGAAACACATACGAATCGAGAAAGCACATGTGAAGACTGTCAAGCACTGACGCTGTCTGTAGAAGGAAGAAGCAAATATATATACTTATAAAACGTATGAGTGATGAAGTATAACCTTTATTTTGATGTTTCAAATGGGAACGTAATATGACATATCGTGCTTAGGTTGATAACAGTAATGGCTCCGAGACGAGACGATATGTGAACCATGGATGCTTATCAACATTTCTGTAACACAGCATGCTTTTTCTGGTGTATTTATTTATGAATATGTAACAATTTAAGAACGTGACACAGCTGCCGCTGCTGTTTGACAAGAATTCGCGCCGTGTCAAAATATTATCCGATCTGGTGCAAGGGAATAACTCTTACGTTGGTAAAGTCACATTGAGAAATATAATTCAAATATATTCCAAGAACATTTGTGAGATTTTGTATATTCAATGAAAGTAAACACAGTCACTACATATATTAATAATTATTATCAATATGAATAAAAAATAAATAAAAATAAAAGGAGTACGTCTCTCTCCATGCATGTTTTCCCACTACTGTTAATTATATAATTATCCTTCATTTCACAAGCACAAAATGCACCTATTCTTTATTATCCATTCAACGATTGCCATTATGCACGTAAATGCTCATGTCACATCATGAGGATGCTAATTTAAATTACAACAATGCGTCACACTTAAAGAGGGTGAAAAAAGAGGAGAGGGAGAATGTTTTTAAGGCATCATTTAAGAGGTGATAGATTTTGGAAATTCCAAAGGCAACATCATTACATGACCTGATTTTCAATTAGCAGGACACAGAACACTTATCTGAGGTATTATAGTAGATATTGATGCTCAAAGTGTTATTGAAGCAATTAAATTTAAAGTAGTGAGCGGCTTTAATGTCACATTGACATAATTCTAGTTTAATTTTAAAATGTTATTCATGTGTTCACTCCTTGATAACTTGTGAAGTATGAGGTGTTGAGATGGTGGCACACAGTAGTGTAATAGCTGAATGGAATACAAATATCTGTAACAGTTTCTGTCAATTAAACACCATTTAAAGCCCTTTAGCTAAAGATTTCTAAATTCATGGAAATATCAGAAGCGATAGATTATTTTCCAATTCCTTTTTTATGTTTTTTAGAATGAGGAATTACGTTTTTATTCCAACCATCGTCTGTTTCGTAAATAAAATCTCTTTTATTTCAGATATTGAATCATCCATAACTGAGGACAAAGCCCAGAGAGAAAGATTTATATCTCTTGTGTCAGCTTGTGATGTAAGTGTGTTCAGCAACATTCTTTAATAATTCTGTGTTCACACACAATATGCACATGTTTTTATTGTGTCGCCTGCGAAAAGCTGGTGACACATAGGTATTGCTATGTTGGCGTCGGCGTCCGCACAGAAGTTTTCGTGCGATAACTTGAGTTTCCTTGGGACGATCAAACTCAAACTTCTTGCAGTGCTTCCTTACCAAAAGTGCTTGCTTGGGATTGCTTTTCAGGTCCGAAGGTCAAAGGTCAAGGTCACTTTTAACATTATCTCTTGAAATGAAAAGTGTATCTATTTCTTCGTAATCTCCCAACTTCCTGCGCAGGCGACACATCCACTTCTGTGGAATTCTTGTTTTGCTTTCCATGGCCGGGTTGTATTTATATATGTTGTGGGTTTGTTGTTTACTGAAAATTCAAAAAAAGAGATATAGTCAGGAAACTAATGCACATATTCAGGGATTTTAATTGATCATTTGCAGATATTTGTACCAGCTGCTGTGCTGAAGGAAAGACTTGATCAGGAATTATTGGAAAGTTGTGGACTCATCCCATCTAAACTACAATTTCAGCAGAAATATGTCAAGACCAAAACAAAGTTATAGTAAGTTTTGAACTGAAGTTTCTTTTTTTCAGTACTTTTTTTCTTACTTTATTGCACCTTTAAAGTGGCATCTTTACCCTTCCTTGTATTGGTGTCTCATTCAAGTGCTACATAAATGACTCGCCTGGCGCTGTGCTGTTGTCATGCTTCAATGCAAGTCTAGGTTGGTCTACAGATATCATCTTTGTAATTCAATGAGAAGTCGCTAACATTTGATCCATGCTTTTAATCATTTGCTATATTAAAATTGGCTTTCAATCTAAGGTTTATTTTGATTAGGTGATATATTTTTTGAATGCAGAATATTGTACAACACATAATGTTGTAGATTTTGCATATTACTAGAGATAGTATATATTAATATTAACAGAGGAAATGTATATATTAATATTGATAGAGGAAAAGTGACAGTGTCAGTCTATTGACCAAGATTGGGTATCAAATCATGCAGCCATTATTTGTTTTTATCCAAACTAGCTTGGTATGGAATTGCTTCGTGCCACGAAACCCAGGTTAGCTTTGGCTCTCTAGGATAGAGACTTGGATCGGAAATTTCTAGATTTTAGATCTGACTTTGAATATTATGTTTTGCTTTGATTTCTCCTTCAGCTACAAACAACAAAAATTCAACCTGCTACGTGAGGAGAGTGAAGGATATGCCAAGTTAGTCACTGAGCTTAACCAGGAGATAACAGACAAGACAACTTACACTCAGGTGTTGGAGAATCTGAAATCACTTATTGGTATGTTAAACTCTGAAGAATAGAGTTTCTTTACAATTCTAATATTGGAACTGCTTTGAAGGAAACTTCTCCAATGACACCAACAAGTAATAACTCCTTCATGCACACTGTGATCAAGAATATTTAAAAATACAGATTCAAATTATTTAATATTTTGTGTCGGAATTTGTTATTTTGCTATGTATGTTTATTGACAGTACTGTGCTTATATTAAGAATTTTTGAGGTTGTGGATGGAGAAATAATCCAAATTTGAACCAAAAATTCTGCATGTACATGTTATTTTGTGGAAATCCAGCCAGTCTGCTACTGTAATAGCTACTCGTAATATATTTTGAAATTGTTTTCCACTATACCTTAAGTGTGTAATCAGGAATAAGCTGCTAAAATTAGCCTTTTGTGATTATTATTGAGACCATTCTATTGGGTTTCTTATGTTACAGGTTGCTTTGACTTGGATCCAAACCGAGTATTGGACATCTTGTTGGAATCTTTTGAGCGTCGTCCAGAACTTGATGATTTCTATGTGCCACTTTTCAAAGAATATGTGACAGAGCAAAAAACTCTGTGCCACATACTTGGCTTTAAATTTCATTTCTTCAAGGTACGTAGACTACTTGAAACAAAATGTCTAATCATACTTTTAACAAAATTTCTAATAATTCCAGACAACTGGTATTCTAAAAATGACAATTTTGATCTTAAACCATTTTAACAGACATGTATAATTGATTATGTGTATAGTTGAATTCATGGAATAATTATTTGAAACATACATGCTACTTGCAAAGCTTTTTAAGGTATAAGGTAGTAGAACGCCATTATCTGAAACTCTAATGTGTATTTTATCAAATATACTGTTTACCTAGAGGTTGTATGTTCCACAACATTTTATTCAGTATCTTTCAAATATTGTCCAAAATCTCGCTGACATGCCAGGGTTTGACTGATGTTGGTGTAGATTGTAGTTGTTTTAACTTTGTGTTATAGGAGGAGGAGACCCCAGCCAGTCTGTACACAATAGCAGCTCTGTTACTGCAGAATGGTCTCATTGATTTGGACTCCCTCTACCCCCATGTAAGCTTCACATGCAGTGACTAAGTATCTGTTCATGAAAGTCAATAAATAGGACAAATTGTTTTTTTTTGCAGATTTAGTGATTACGATATTATTTGACTGGAAATCTAGGAAAAGTTAAAGGAATGTTTAACAAATATATTGTTTAAACAATTAACAAATATATTGTTTAAACAATGCTTCTGAAACATTTTCATGTGTGATATTTTTTGACCTCCAAAGTTACAAAACAGAACCTAAAAATGATTTAGAGCATTTAAAAAATGGAGCTTGATTCTATGAAAGTTCCAAAGCTTTATTTACTGTCATTCCTCATTGTCTCAGTGATTTTGGGCAATCAATATTGATGTTGTTCCTACCCATTACATACTTGATATTCATCTCACTATCTGTTTGTAGCTGTCGCCCCCTGACACAAAGATCCGGGAGCACCATCAAAAGGATATAGACGATGCCAAGGCCTATGCCAGGAAGCTGAGTGTTGTTATATTGTCCGAGCGCTCAGAGGACAAAAAGGATGATGACTCTGTCAAAGTTGATGTGGTATATACATTACTATTGATGATTATTGTGTTTTATGTATCTTACTCACTGAGCAGAATTCAACCTCACTTTCAAAATATCCAAATGAGCTATAATACATAAATGTTTTGAAAGTGACTTTACAAAGTGTTGCATATTAGAAAATATGTTTTTCCCCCCATGCTGTCCCATTTTAAGCTGTGGGAATCGCTATTCCATTAAACTGTCATATGTGCCTATGAATTTGCAGCATGTGACAAACCAGAAACTTGGACTCATCGAAGCTCTTCTAGGATTGGGAGCCTGGGACAATGCTAAACAGATCCTGGACCGCTTGCCTGAGTTCTTTGCTACCACATACAAACCCATTGCTTTGGCACTGTGTGCTCTGGTGCATCTAATGATGGATCCCGTTTACAGGACGTAAGTGGATCACTTAATTCTCTAGCTGCTGTGCAGTGTTATAACACATAACATGACAAAATATATGCATATTGATCAAAATAATCGATAAAGTATATATACCAATTCAGAATGGTCAATAATAAGGATAATATCTGTCAAAAATAATCATGATCAATGGAGGAAATATAACACACTTGAGTTAAAAATCTCGAAACAATAAAGATAAAAAAAATGTTGATGTTTAAAACAATGGCTGTTATTTTCAAAAATATTTAAGAGAAGAACATGAAGGCACATATATATATGTCTGTGCAATGTGCTTGGTATAGGAACTCTGGACTGCCAAGTAAGATCATGAAGAGCAAGGTACCTGATGGTGGAAGATTCAGCAGCAAGGTTGCACGAGCACATACATTCCGAGACCTCCACCAGATGGTGCTGCCAATCATGAGATACATCGGACCATACACCTGCTGTGACCCCATTCTCATGGTCAAAATAATCAGACTGGGCAAGAATTTCATGGGAAAGGTTAGATATCTGTTGTATCGTAGTCTTTTTGATTCAAAATCATGTTAAATAGCATTGAGCTTAATGATGTCCTAAACCAATTTGCACCTATAAAGTGGCATTTTAACTTTTCTGGTTTTAGTGTCTCATTCAAGTGCTAGATAAATGAACCAACCTGACACAGTGTTGTTGTCATGTTACAATATGCATGTCTAGGTTGGTTGACAAATTCCATTTAAAAATGTTTCTGTAGACCAAGTTATTATAGTGGTTTTGAAGTTGTACTGTTGAATGTTTCAGAGACAAAGTGGTGGTATCAGTCCTGATGACGAGGTGGCTTACTATGGTTTCCTCAACATGTTGGATGAGGTGTTGTTGCCGGGGATGGTGCTACTACCCTGTAACTGTTGTATCTCTGAGGAGCTCTGGGGGTTCATCAAACTCTTCCCATACATGCTGAGGTATGTCATAAAACAAAATAACCAATATTTGTTTTAAAACAAAATTCAAAAAAAAGTCTTAAATTCTGATTTTATGTTTTAACTTTTTTTGTGCTTCAAACTTACTTTATTATGAACATAGTCTTCTTTGCATACATATTCATGTCTCAATCCATGATCAGATTGATTTTTTGCCAGGTAATCCTTTAAGTAACATTGAGCCGGATATTACTTAGGTTATATGCTGCTGTAAGTGGACGTATCCTGTTTAAGGAATTTATGAATTAAGAAATCAAATCATGAAACTTGTTTGATGTTTAGATATGAACAGGAATAAGTACAAACAAAAGATTCTGATTGTTTGTTGTTATTATTTGTGTGTACAGTATAAACACAAATTTATCCATCTTCTGTGCTGCAGATATCGCTTGTACGGAAACTGGAAGAATGATACTTACAGTCAGCATGCTAAGCTGATCCGAGCTCGGGCAGATTGTATGGAGAGGGCCAAGTACATTATGAAGTAAGTGAAATATCTCTTTGGCAAAGCACGATTTGCAGGGTCATATCCTAATTGTCAACCCTTTTCTTCAAAACCTGCAGGAAGGGATATGGACATTTTTGTTTCTATGTATACAAAAATATGTTTCACAAAATAAGTAAATCAATGTCTCTTCACTAATTCCATGGAGTTTTATCATGTCTAAAAATGCAGGCATATATGGTTTACATGGCCCAATGGATTAGAAGAGCAGATAAAATGAATCGAGTGGATTGTTTATTTTATATCGATTAATACTTTAAAAATAGGCTTGTCTATACCAATTTGATAACGCTAGTTATTGTGTCTGGATTATGTATTACAACTTTGACACTTTCAAGTCGAGGCAACAACCTTTGTAGGAAGTAATATCCTCAATTATGTTTATAATTTCAGGCGTCTAGCAAAGGAGAATGTGAAGCCTTCTGGGCGTCAGCTGGGAAAACTAAGCCACAGTAACCCAGGAGTGGTGTTTGAATATGTAAGGGTTTCACATAAAGTACTCTTTTCTATTATGGCAATTTAAGGGAAAAGTAAGAAACTGTGAAGTTGAAGTAATGGAATATCAATATGATACTATGTTAAATGTTTTGTAGAAAATCCATAGTGGTAAGTGAGTTGATTTTGTCTGTTGAGTATTGTAACTCAACTTTGATTACTGGTAGATTGCTGGGGCCAGTCCAACAAACTTGAAGTGACATTTTCAAATTAAAATTTTTGAAGACGAAAATGTACGTTTAGAACCATACAACCAGAATGTTTTATTTTCAGTTCAATAACAATGAATATGTGATATCACTGATTCAATGTTTACCTTAATATGTCTATAAGCTAATGGTTGAAGATGCATTTGACTGAGACCTGTTTTGTTATGTTGTAGGTATTGTCCCAGATCCAGAGATATGACAACTTCATTGGACCTGTTGTGGATTCTCTCAAATATCTCACTTCCCTTTCATACGACGTCCTGGCTTGTATCCTTCCATATGTTGCTAAATGAATGAACAGTTTCACTTATTTACTACAAAGAACATGAAGTAATAATATAATGACATCTGGAGTAGCCCTTGTCATGCCTTGAGCTCTCGCACTTTAAGCCTGTGTTTGAAAGTAAATGAAGTAACAGAACTAAAATTGAAACAGGAAAATGGCCATTTATTAATAACCACCTAACACATTTTTGGTTGGGTGGTCGCAAATAATGGAACAGAAAAAGGATCTTATGAAATATCTTGTACACTACCTGATCTAGTGTACATATCAGGAGATCCGATAATAAACATTGGTGACATAGAAAGTAACAGTAAAAGCGTCTTGTTAAATACCTCCTTTTCTACATGATCTAGTGCAATTACACGATATTCAAATAACACCATAATGATATATGGGGGCACGGTAGTCTAGTGGTAGGACACCAGGCTCGTGACCGAAGGGTTGCAGGTTCGAGTTACGTCACGGCACTGTTGTATCTTTGAACAAGATACTTTACTCCGCTTGTTCCAGTCTATACTACTCAGCTGTAAATGAGAACATGGTTGGGCAGTCCTAGAATTGTTGAATGCTAGCTGTGAGTGCCGAAATGGCAGCACTGGCTGTATGCTCCCCAGGGAGTTGAGAAAGATGTTGGCTGGTTGCAAAGGCCCCATAACCACGGATAATAATTTGTGAAATGCTTTGAGACCACTTACGAACTAGGTTGTAATAAAGCGGTATGTAAGAACCTCAAATTATTATTATTATTAATTATTTTGTTAAGTTTAGGAATGTAATTGAATTGTGAAATTGGGTGTGCCTATGTACATGTAAATTGGTAGCATTAAACAGTTTTCTGAAGATTAACAGGAAATTCAGAAGGTATATGTACCAACAAAATACCAACATAGAACATGAAGTAATAATATAATGACATCTGGAGTAGCCCTTGTCATGCCTTGAGCTCTCACACTCTAAGCCTGTGTTTGAAAGTAAATGAAGTAACAGAACTAAAATTGAAACAGGAAAATGGCCATTTATTAATAACCACCTAACACATTTTTGGTTGGGTGGTCGCAAATAATGGAACAGAAAAAGGATCTTATGAAATATCTTGTACACTACCTGATCTAGTGTACATATCAGGAGATCCGATAATAAACATTGGTGACATAGAAAGTAACAGTAAAAGCGTCTTGTTAAATACCTCCTTTTCTACATGATCTAGTGCGATTACACGATATTCAACAAACACAATAATGATATATGGGGGCACGGTAGTCTAGTGTTAGGACGCCAGGCTCGTGACCGAAGGGTTGCAGGTTCGAGTTGCGTCACGGTACTGTGTTGTATCTTTGAACAAGATACTTTACTCCGCTTGTTCCAGTCTATGCAGCTGTAAATAAGGCAAAGGCACCATAACCATGGATAATAATTTGTGAAACACTTTGAGACGACCTACGAACTAGGTTGTGATAAAGCGGTATGCAAAAACCTCGAATTATTATTATTATCATTATTAATTATTTAGTTTAATTTAGGAATGTAATTAAATTGTGAAATTGCGAGTGCCTATGTACATGTAAATTGGTAGCATTAAACAGTTTTATGAAGATTAACAGGAAATTCAGATGGTATATGTACCAACAAAATATGAATGTTAATAATGACTTAAATTTTATCGCAAATGTCGTGTCTGTTTAACCGCATGTTCCTTAATAATATAAAGTTTGCATCATTGAAGCTGTGGCAAATCCAGAGAAGGACCGAATGAAGTATGATGACACCAACATCTCCTTGTGGTTGCAGAGTAAGTTATTCACATGGATCTGTGTCGGAATGGAGGATTGGTCAGAATCCTCCTGTACTCTAGGGTCGGGATTATTGTTTAATATTGATATTTGAAGAAGTCTTCTATCGTTTGAGTTACAGTGTTTGGAACACATTTGATTGAGTTATCATCTTTGGTCTTAATTGACATATTGGTTTTTATGAACCCATCATTTAGATAGCTTAACCTTCAATAATACCGTAAAAGAGTTTTTCTCAAAAACAATACCAGCCAGCATTGATAGTAATTTGGTTTTGATCGGTGAATCATGTCCATTGACAAATTGAATATAGAAAGTAATACTTTTACCGTATCTTATCTATTCAGGTTTGGCAAACTTCACTGGGTCTATCTGTCGAAAGTACAACATAGAACTGGCAGGGGTGATGCAGTATGTGGCCAATCAACTCAAGGCTGGCAAAAGGTAAGGTCAAGGCTGTTTCGAGGTAAGGTCAAGTCTCTGGGATGGTATGGTCAAGGCTGTTTCGAGGTAAGGTCAAGTATTGGGGTTGGTAAGTTCAAAGCTGTTTCGAGGTAAGGTCAAGTCTCGGGGATGGTAAGGTCAAGGCTATTTCGAGGTAAGGTTAACTCTCAAGGATGGTAAGGTCAAGGCTGTTTCGAGGTAAGGTCAAGACTCGGGAAAGGTAAGGTCAAGGCTGTTCGGAGGTAAAAAGGTCAAGTCTCGGGAAAGGTAAGGTAAAGGTAAGGTCAAGTCACACCCACAATTAAAGTCATTCAAAATACTTCTGCACCTTTTGTTGTAACCTTCACATCAATTGCCAACAGTTGATTTAACATCGTAACAAAGATAATGTACAGATATGATGAATATCAAATTAAAAGCAATTGATCAGACGTGATACAAATTGTGATCAGAAAATGCACAGCAATTGACTTAAATCAAAGTGTCTCTGCATCAACCTAGCCAGTGAGCATTGTTGAGAATATTAATCCATTTTCAGCTTTGACCTGCTACTCTTGCGTGAGGTTGTCCAGAAGATGGCAGGCATTGAAATTTCTGAGGAAATAACTGGGGACCAGCTGGATGCCATGTCCGGTGGGGAGCTGCTGCGACAAGAGGTGGGTACTTAAAATAAGCTCTTATGATTGAATAAAATAAATCTGGGGATTATAAGCAATACTGTATATAATTGATATTTCGGTTAAGTTTGACACCACTATTGGAGATATCTGAAACCAGAAAAAGAAATGACAGGTTTGATTCCCTGAGTATGTAAAAAAAAATAAAAATAGTTAATTATAAATGGTTTTGCATCAGTCAGTTTTAAAGTAGCATTATTCTCCTTTTTCAGGGTGGCTACTTTTCTCAAGTGAGGAATACAAAAAAATCATCGACTCGCCTGAAAGATACTCTCCTGGAACATGACTTGGCACTGTCCCTGTGTCTGTTGATAGCTCAACACAGAGATGGGGTTATATTTCATGAAGGTGCTGACACACATCTCAAACTCATTGGCAAGCTCTATGACCAGGTAAGGTTGGATGGAATGATCCAATTATAGATGACTGCATGAACAATTAACTGACAATACCTGACGGTTCTCTATTAGGATATAAAATTTGATTTGAAGAGCACACTAAACCTGCAGCTTACAGTTATGGAGTAAAAAAAGTACACATTTTTAAGATGGACTCTAAATTAACAAGATAACAAGCACTTTTAAAGTGGCATCCTTACCCTTCTTTGCATTGGTGTCTCATTCAAGTGCTACATCAATGACTCATCCTGGCGCTGTGTTGTGGTCATGCTACAATACATGTCTAGGTTGGTCTACAGATTCCATCTTTAAAGAATTGAACAAGAAGTGCATTGCAAATGCTGGGATACTTATTTTAAATGTGATATAATTTTCAGACTTTTCATGCTGAATGTATCAATTGTTGAAACTGCCTACACATCCTAAAGTGTAAATATATGTTAAAAAAAAAAGTTAACTTCCATAGTGTTCATAGGTTGGCATTTATTTACAAATTGAGTGGGTTTATGTTTCAGTGCCAGGACACACTGGTTCAGTTTGGAAGTTTCCTGTCCATGCAGCTGAGCTCTGAGGAGTTTGTTAAACGTCTGCCAGATGTTGACACCCTTATCACAACATATCATATTCCCCCAGATGCAGCCTTCTTCCTCTGTAGGCCTGCATTTACATATGCAATTAATGTAAGTACTGGACCATATTTGTGTGACGAATCTGTTACCAAGATAACATGTCTCAATTCAGTAATTTCAGATAAAGTGTAGCGATTGCTCTGTTTATCTTTTGTGTTTGTTACTTTCAGAATTCAGTTATTTTTAATTATAGCAGACATTTCTGTTGAAAATTCAAAAACTACTTAAAGGTTAATTTAAAAACAAATTCAGTGGTTTTTATTTAATTTTTTGAAAATTATTATTCCAAAAAGTTTTGTTTAAAAAAATCCTAAGAAAAAAGTGTTGTCCCCCTTAATAACTTTGTTCTTTTATATTTTATAGTCAAAGTTTGATGAACTCAGGAAAATTGACAAGAGCAATAAACACAACTCCAGTCAACATAAAGTAAGTTTATACTATGAATGAGGAATATGTTATGTTCAATTATAATGGTTGTGTGACTTCAGATGGGAGAATATATTAACATATTAGTGTAGTGCCATTTATTAATAACCACTTAAAGCATTCTTGGTTGAGTGGTCGCAAAGAATGGGACATTGAAAGGAACTTGAGAAAAAATCTTGTGCACTGCCTTAATATAGTGTGCATTTCAAGAGATCCAACAGCAGCAGTATATACATCAAAGGTTTTAGAAACATTTCATATCAAAATCCTACAGTGTTGATATTCCTATAATTGTATTAATTATCAATTTTATTCCAAAAATATTTATATCCAGTCAGTCTTGAAAGTGTCCAAAAAGGTATCTTTCGATCCAACTTGCCTTGTAATAATAACAAAGCTCACATGTACACCCAGACCTGATGATCATCCAAGTTCACAAGTATCAAATAAGGCTGGTGGGATCTCATCAGTAATACAAATGAATATTGCATTTTATTCCTTAATTTAGAGGAAAATTGCAATCAGTCATCATTACACCTGATGCTGGTGACACATTTAAGGGATGTGCAGAAAATTGAAAGAAGAAAGTTTCTGCTTTTGATATATGGCAAATAATTTGGAAGGTAAACTAGTTGACTACAGACTGATGTGACAATGTAATAAATTCAATTTTGTTTTTAGATGCAGAGATATATAGAGGCTTCAGAGTTTGTCAATGGTCCTGTGATAGAGTTGGTGCGGCCGCTGTACACCCCAAAAGTTTGGGAAGACCTCAGGTATATACAAGTTGTATATATATATATGCTGTCGGTCATAGTTTGTCTGAACAAATCATGTTTTTTCAAAAGGGACAGTTTTACCTTAAAAAAAAAAGAAAATTTAAACATATATTGCCCAATGAAATTTTCTCCCACCTCTGCGTATGAAAGAACCACATGTTCCATGTGGAACACCCATGTTGGATATGTGAATCCCACGTTAATGCACTACTATTTTTACTTAACAATCAGAATGATCGCATTTCATTATGATGTCACAAGTGGATATGCATCTAAATGTGGTTTGACCGACGGTATCAATCTTGCCATCAGCAAGTGACACCCTATCAAGAGTATAAGAATTAATGTACAAGCTTGGCCTGAATGTTTTGCATAGAACTTTAAATTTGAGTTATACCTATGGTATACAGTACATTTTTCTCACCCTTCCAGATAGCTAAATAAAGTGTTGCATTAGCATTGTCTGTGTCCTGTTTTACCGAAATTTTGGTTTAGAGGTGGGAGAAAGAGTCTGCCATGATGTAGGTATGTGAGATATGTATATTTAAGCACAAAGAACCAAGGCTTTGCTGATGTTCTGACAACAAATTCTGCATTGACTGACTCTATCACTGTGTACAACTGGTTACACTACACAGGAGCTTAGCAATTTGGGAAAATTAAAGTAACTGCAGAAGTTGAAGAAAAATCTGATTTTAAAGTTTGTATATTAATTTTTCCACAGTGCACCTTTCTTTGTGACATTTTGGTCTCTGCAAATGTATGACCTTGCAGTACCCTCCAATGTGTACGACAAACAGAATCAGCAGCTCTGTGCACAGATCAGCGCTATTGAGGACAACAAAGACATGGTAGGTGCTTATAATTATTTTAGGGTGTTGTATATAGTCAAACCTGGTTAATTCAGCAAGCACTATTCCAGTTACCTTGCTATCAAGCTAGTGTTAAGAAAAGTTGACTTGTTTCCTCATTCCCTGTTAACCAACCATTTCACTATCCAGACATTAAGTTTGAAGAAAGGTGACTAAATTAGCAAGGTTTGACTGTTAACATTCAGATAAATATATGGAATGGTAGGAAAAGATATAGTGTTCATCATCAGATAAATCTCTGAAAAATGTAATTGTAAGTTGCATGTTTACAATACTTAGGCTGGAGATGTGATTTGATATTAAATCATGACCATCTTCTTGGAACTTATGCTATTATATGTAAAAAAAAGATGATATCCTTGTTTGATCAATGAAATCTGTAAAACTTTTTGATATCCCAACTGTTTGATCACTGAACTGCAGCTTCATCATGTTTGTCGCTTTCACATGCCAATTTTGATACATTTTTCATACCGTTATTTCTCGGAACAGAAAAATCCTGAAGCAAGCATCATTATTTTTTGTATTGAAGATATAATTTTTAAAGTGTTATCTCATTTGTGGTATATTTGTTGTCGGATTATAATAACTGAAATATATATCTCAGCCTCAGAGCAAGAAGAAGAAGGAGAAGGAAAGATGTAACACACTGATGGACAAACTGAAGGACGAGGAGAAGAAACAGGGGGAGCATGTTGCCCGTGTCCACAACAGACTGAAGAACCAGAAGGAGCAGTGGTTCATCTCAAGTACGTTATTATCAAACTTCATACTTCATCTGCACAGTATGAGTTCCTTCCTAATCGACCTATCTCAAATATTCTTACAAGACTTCTTTGACCAAAGAGATTTTTGTTGGATATTGTTTTAGTCATGATGTAAGTGGTAGCCTTGGTGACAGAATCACTTTTTCACACGTCTTGCTTCAACAGTCAACGTTGTAATGTTAATGTTTATTGATTGGTAATTGAAATACCTTTGTAATAGAGTTAACACTTAAACATTAATGGTCACTAAGGAAGATTAATTGATCAATAGACAAGCAAAATACATGCAGTGGTGAAAATCGGCCATTACTAGGAATTCCCTTGATCCCTAGGAGGGAACTTTGCATCCTGTTTCTAATTTCCATCTCAACAATGATAAAAAAAACTATATCACAACTCAAAGGATCATTAAAGCCTTGGGCCTCTTGTTCTGTGTTAAATTTATACAATTTTGTATTCATTTAAATCATTTATTTTGAGTTATACTGTAAAATAAAAAATAAAAATTAAAGTAGCAAGTTAAAAACCTTCATTTTGTGCCAAATTTTGGTGTTTTTTTGAAAGAATTCTTGATCCATGTTGTTTTGATACAGGATCAACAAAGAATGAGACAATCACCCAGTTCCTGCAGCTGTGTATATTTCCGAGGTGCTGTTTCACAGCCATTGATGCCTTGTACTGCTCCAAGTTTATACACATACTCCACGACTTGAAGACTCCGAACTTTTCAACTCTCATCTGTTATGACAGGGTAAGATTAATATTGACTGCTTGAAGAATATACATCAGTTTTGTGATCTGTACCCAATACTCTAACTTCGCATTTTGATGCATTAAAACCCCAGTGTGCTGTAAGATACAGGTTCATATCCAGCAATGAGGGAAACTTGTTTCATACTTCTTAAATATGATCTGTTATTAAAATCAGAGCAGATGGTGATGAATTATCACATTTACATGTCTTAATTTTACATTGTCTAATCGAATATTAAGCGCATGCATGGGATATAAAAATAATATATGAGCATTTGGTGGGATAACTTCAGGAAGTTGCCATACATGCTATTACCATTTACATAGAGTCGGGGGAAAAAGGTGCTGTAAGCATATTTATTTTAGCACACTCCAATTTTAGCGGAACGAAGGTGGTAGGACTTATGGCACACTCTTTAATTAGCAGCACACTAGAACCTAAACTCTATAGTTATAGCAAAAAAATAGTGTGTGCTTTATGGTCTAATTTTAGCAATGGACATGAATTAGCCAACGAGACCTAGCTTGAAAGCTGCTTAACTTAGAATACTGCAAAAATTAGTACACTTGCAGTATATTTAATAACATTGAGAAATATTCAATTTGATCAAACCATGAATTAGCAGTATTATTAGTAGGTTTGCCTTGTATGTAATGTGTTTTTCAGATATTCTGTGATATTACCTACACTGTAACATGTTGTACTGAGAATGAGGCTCATCGTTACGGTCGCTTCTTGTGTGCTGCGCTGGACACCATAATGAGGTGGCATAGCAACAAGGGAATCTATGAAAAGGTAAGCTGAACAAGCATGAAGTTAGTTCATTTCTTGCCTGAATTAATTAATAGTTTTATTTTCTTTGTGGATAAACTTGATTTTGAAGTGCCATTTGTGAGAAAGTACCAATGCAAAATAGCAGACAAAATGACTTTCAGACACAATTCAAGTGTATTTTCTCTATCTTGGTTACACTAAAACATCAAAGAAAATTCCAAGATAAATGTCTCATTAATCCTGATCAGTGAGAAATGGAACACATACAAGTACTAAGATGTGCATGTGAAAACAGATGTTACTCTCTAATTAGGATGGACAGCTGGCCATCATTGCTGAAGCAATCTTTTACGATTGAAACATTTATCATTAGGCTTGCAAAAGATGACTACAGCAATTGCTGGTCACTAAAGAATGCAGGTTGTGATGCTTCTTTGTTGTTGCAGGAATGTGCCAGTTACCCTGGGTTTGTGACCGTGTTTCGTAAAGGTACAGACAGTAACAACAAGGCTGATCAGCTGGACTATGAAAATTATCGCCATGTGTGCCACAAATGGCAGTTCAGGATAACTAAGGTGAATGTTGAAAGTGTTCAAAGTTTTCCCCATTGTCCCTGCCCCCTCTATGTTATTATGACTGCTGAGGAGTGTATCATGTGCCCTTTCTCGTAAGAAGTTTTTGAAGATAAAAGAATGAAGAAAAAAAGCTTAAATTTTGTGGTGTAGCATTTCTGTATGATTTTGATATTAATATTTTGATGTTTCCAGGCCATGGTGTCATGTCTTGAGTCAGGAAAGTTCATTCAGATCCGCAATGCTCTTATCGTTCTCACAAAGGTTTGTTACACATTAATTATTGTATTGCCTGTGATCATATCACAAACGCATGTTAACATACATTTAAATGTTTGTTTTTTATTCAATCCAGTATATAATGTCTTGCCATTTGACAAAGATATATGCTGGAAAACCATGTGCAAATGCAGTTCAAATCATTGCCAACTCATTTTATAATTGACATTTTGTGTAGTTGATAAAATTCTGCAAATCATGAGGAAAATCTTGTTTTCTAGCTGTTACAATATGTATTTAGTTTCTGTTAAAAGGCAGTATTATGATACAAATTTTTACATTAAAAATGCCTGCCAAATTAGAAAAAATACAGACAAAGAGAAAGCTGAGTTTCCTAATTCCTTGTTTTATTAAAAGTAATGTTTTACCATATTGTGGATCTTATCAACCGAGTTCTAAAGTGGAAATATAAACTCTACTGAAATCTGTTTATATGACTTGTGTTATTAGATCCTGCAGCATTATCCACGCATCACCCAGTTTGGCCAGGCACTGGAGAGACGTGTAGACAGACTGAGACAGGAGGAGAAGGATAAGCGACCAGACATATATGCCCTCGCCATGGGGTATGTCATCTGAATTATTTAATCAGTAATTAACAGCAGGAAATGGAAAATATTTAATGGTTTTCTGTTAAAAACCATGTATATTTCACAAGTATGACAGAATACCAATATTTTCCATGTGTGGAATCTTCATATGGAATAAAGACATTTGGAAGGTTTGCTTAATTAAACTTTTACACGATAACAAAAATTGAAAATTGTTGACTAGTAGGCCGCAAATTTCATATTTGAAGTGAATGGGAGTTTCCTTGATTTAATACTTTGATAAGGTCTGTATGGTTTTTATTTTTCCGCAGGTATTCAGGTCAGCTTAAAAGCAAAAAGTCCTCCTGGGTCCAGGAAGCAGAATTCCACTTGAAAGACAAAGAGGTAAAAACAGAAATGTCTAATGGCTCCCAAAACTTTAGAGACAATTGTCAAACATTTCCCATATATTGAAATGTGAATGTGTCTGTAAAAGTCCTCTCATTTCATTTTGTTCATGTAGATCATTCTGAGTTAAAAGCAACAGGATGTGAAATTTTGGAGTACTGCAACTGAATGAAAGTATTCAGAGTTGATTAATAGCTTTAAAGATTCAATTTGATGTACCTGTTCACATTTATATTTTTTTCAATACAAGTGACAGTCCACATGTCCTATCACAGTCCAAACAAAGTTCTTGTATTGCCATGTTGTAGAGGAACTACTTGCCATATTCTAGAGAAATGCTGTATATTACATTTGTCAAATTCAAGGGAAACTTTATGTATTCTTTATATTTTCGATTTTTGTAGTCCTTTATCATCAAAAGGAAGTTCTTCTACTTTCTAGAAATCCTAATCCAACAGCATTTCTATTCTGATTTTTCTAGAATCTTGTTATCCAGAGGAAGTTCTAAAGTTAATATCTTAATTGTTGTTGTCCTTAAAAGGTTTGTCTGTCTTTTTTAGATTGTCATAGTCTGTAGGAAATTCTTAAACAAGTTTTCTAGATTGTCAGTCGAGATTGACAATTTAGAAAGTTTTACATTTATACATGAAATAGGCCTGATATTATGTTAAAACCTTGTCACCAAGTCCAATTGTTGAGTGAATGTATGGTGATGTGTATTATCAGGTGAAGGTTAATACAAAGACCACCAGTGCTACATCCAAACAGAGCGGTGCTCAGGCTGCCAACGGCATTGCAGAGAATGGGTCCAAAAAAACAAATGGGGAGGTGAAATCTCAGTCTAAGAGAACGGAAAATGGAGAAGGTATAAATTATTACTTAATTGTGTTAAGGATCACCACATACCACTGCAAAAAACTCTAGCAACCACATTGGAAACTAAATGCTTTCTGGAAAAAAAACATACCCTACAGGACTTCTGTGAAAATCTGTAAAGATAAAATAAACACAATATGATCAACATTGTTCTGATTGAGAGGAAAAAAATACTGGGCCTAGACCAGGATTTAAACCCTGGATCTGATTGTAATACTTTGGCTCTTACCAACCAAGCAACATGGTCAATGAATTCAGGTGTCCTTGCCAAACTGTGATACAGTTATATCCTAAGTGGAATTCAGAGGAGGTCCCTGTATAAACGAAACACCACAGTGCAGCGGAACAAGGATCCGTAAAGATGTTGTGTTTATTTTTCAACAAAATACTTCGATATTGACATCATGTCAATTTAACATTTATGTAACACAGATGTATTTAACAAATGAGGATTCATGTTTCACTACATTTTTGATGTCACTCGTCTGGATTCCAGACATTGAATTCTTCTCATAAATTCTTAAAAGGATATTTTTTTTAAAAGTAAACTAAAATTTTCTTTTTTTTCTCCTAAAGCTTCAAGTTCCAAGTCCAAGGAACCAAAGGAAAGTAAAGAAGTCAAAGAGAAGAGGTCACGAGAGCCCTCGGAGAAAAAAGAAAAAACGGATGCTAAATCCAAAATATCATCTGAGAAGTACTCCGGAAATGTAGAGGAAAGGAGAGAAATAACTTCAAGGTAATGGTTAAAATAGTCATAGATCGCGTATATTGTGATGGTTTTGACATTCCGTTTTTGGCCAAGTTTTACATATCTATCATTGCAACTTTTGCTTCCATTGTAACAAAACACACACAAATAGTTCTCTGTTTTCACGTTCTTCAGAAATAAGACTTAATATTTAAAACATTTTGAAATTATTATTTGTAGTTTTAATATAATGTTTGTTTGAATTAGTGACTGTTGAGATAGAAAATAATTTTGTCTGTGATGATGTACAGTCTTTTCTCCACAGTAACTTGTTCACATCTACAGCAATATGCGTTTGATTTGTTATAGCTCTAAGAAAGACAAAGAAAACAGCCATAAAGACAAGGAAGAGAAATCCTCCAAAGATAAAGACAAGTCTCACACAGAAGAAAGGGTGTCCAAGGATCGTGGTCACAGTAGCAAGGAGGTAAAACACCTCAAGGAGGAGGATACTGAGTGGGTAGCCAAGGAGGATCGAGGCCACTCTTCAAAGGAGGAAAAGACAGTGAGGATTAAGGAGGAGAAGGTACGCATCAAGGACGAAGCAAGAGAAAGGAAAGTTGAGATAAAGACAGAAAAACCAATCAAACGTGAAGACAAACATGAGAAGGTGAAGCTAAAAAGAATGTATGAAACAGAAGCTAGGGAGAGCAGTCGTGAGGTGAGGGATGCTGGACGGGACTCCGTTAGGGATACAGGTCGGGACACAGTGAGGGAGTACAGGGAGTCGCCTAAGGAGCGAGATGGCCATCGGGAGAGGCGAGGGGAAGAACACCATGAGAGGGCATCCAGTGTTGGTTCCAGTGGCAGCCACGGATCCGCCATCGTTCGTCGCAGCCCAGACACATCACCTCAGTACGCAGATGAACGAGGTTAGTTCAGCTCCGTCTGTAGTGATTCATGTGATTCAATCCAGTAATGCAAGTATAATGAAGTTGCTTATTTCCCTATTGTGGCTTAGATTAAATGATTAAGCTTGTAAGCAACTGTATAACTAGTTATTCTTCTACAGACAAAGGTTGGGGAGCATACGGGAGTCGCCCTTTCTGTCCGTATGTCTATGGAAACATTGTAAAAAGTCGAGGCCATTTTGACCCACAATCTTTCTACCTAGGACATTGCATTATTACAGGATTGATACCCAGTAGTATTTCTCAGGAGCTTTAGTTAGATTTGGAAAGACAAATGTCAAGATCACACATTACAAGTTATTGAAACATTGCTAATGCAAAAACTGTGAATATAATATTTTGTCTCCTCAGATGGAAAGCGCCGCCGCCTGGAAACCTCCGCCACACCTTCAAATTCCAAGGTTAGTATGATGGAGGTCTGCTCCTGATGTCTGTCCGCACTGTGTCGGTGTGAGGTCAAGTACAGAGGTCGCAGGCACCTACAGGCGTCGCCTAGGCAACCCGTACCTACTCGGGCTCCAGGGAAGGAAGGAATGATTTAATGTCTAATCCATGTTGGTTTTCAGAAAGTCTGGGTTTTCAAGTTGTCTATACAAGATCCGTTTTCAGAAAGTGGCGTGGGATTCAAAGAAGGTTCGGAGATAAGGAGATATAGTTTGTGAAGTTTTAGGGGTTACAGTTTATCCAGCCTTGAATGTATAAAAGTTTTCTGTGTAGAGATGAAGTGGGTATGTTGTACACCCGAAGTCAACACCATTCCTACCATTATTTGTGATCCTACTTCATGATATTAAATGAATGCAGATGGTCATCCCTGAAGGATTGGCAGAAAGGAATGTGAAATCAACAAGATGATGCATCATAAGATCTGTCAAAAACTTTGTCTAAGTTAGTGTTTTAAGTTGGTTTTAAGTTGTTTGGTTATAGTATAATCTTAGCAAAGCTTCATACCTGCAGTATCCAGGGATGTAACGGCTGCCAAATTACTGTTTCACCAACTTACACACTTCCAGTATTAGAATATGTTCTAAGTACCGTAATTACTACTGCAGCAACTTCAAACGACTAGTATCCAGGGATGTAATCGTTAGCAAATTACTGCTTCAGCAAAATTTGATGACCAGTATCCAGGGATGTAATTGCTACAAAATTACTGCTTCAGCAATGTGATGACCAGTATCAACGGATGTAATCGTTAGCAAATTACTGCTTCAGCAATGCGACGACCAGTATCAAGGGATGTAATCATTAGTAAATTACTGCTTCAGCAATGTGACGACCAGTATCAAGGGATGTAATCATTAGCAAATTACTGCTTCAGCAATGTGACGACCAGTATCCAGGGATGTAATCGTTAGCAAATTACTGCTTCAGCAATGCGACGACCAGTATCAAGGGATGTAATCATTAGCAAATTACTGCTTCAGCAATGTGACGACCAGTATCCAGGGATGTAACGGCTGCCAAATTACTGCTTTGACAACATCAATCAACCAGTTGCCAAAGATGTTTTACAACTACCAAACTTGACCAGCATCAAACTATTAGTATCCAAAGATGGTCCAACTACCAAATTTAGTATAAAGATATGTTCCGGTCCAAATATATTGCTGCTGCAATTCAATCATGTGTCCAGAGATGGTCCAGCTAACCAAGTTGCTTCTTCAACAACTTAAAACAAGATGTAACCAGACATGGTCAGACGTAAAGTAGCTGCTTCAACATATTTAAGCTAGTCTCTAGAGATGATCCAGCTACCCTAGTTGCTGCTTCAACAACTTAAAACAAGATGTATGCAGAGGTCAGACCTAAAATTGCTGCATCAACAACTTAAAAACAAGTCTCTAGAGATGGCACAACTACCCAACTGCTGCTTCAACTTAACAGCAACATGTAATCAGAGATGGTCAGACCTGAAATTGCTGCTTCAACAATTTAAAACAAGTCTCGAGAGATGATCCATCCACCAAAGTTCCTGCTTCAACAACTTAAAACAACAAATATCAAAAGATGATCCAACTACCAAATGTAAATCTTCGACAAATAGTTAAAACAGCTAGTATCCAATGCTCTCCTGCATCTTTCATTGATATGCCAAATCTGAAGAAGCCTGTTGTGGGGAGAGGAGTGAAATCTGATAAAAACTTTGTTTTAAAATATATATTCACCGACATACATGCTGTGTCTAAGTCCAATGCCAGGCAAGTCAAAATGGCATGATGGAAGAATACTAGGGATCGTTTACCTGTGAAGAAAAAGTGGCCTGAAGCAGATTAACAACGTTGAAGATAAGGTATCGTTTTCTATACCTTAACAGGGATATCTAATGATTTGTCAGAGGCCTATGTCTGCATAGTGAAGATAACCGATGATCGAAGAAAAGAAATGTTGGGCTGACTATCAGAGGAATGGCACCAAAACCACAGAAAGAACTTTCTATTGAAATTAAAATCCCAGTGTAGTTTCTCAATGGAAGGGATAAAGAATCAATTTTCTTCACTCGATGTTATAATAGTTTTCAATCTAGAGAAGTGTATGATAATGAAATTTCCTACATTTATCAATAATCATAAATAATTCACAGAATGGGAAAAGTTAAGGAAAAGTAGCCTATGATGTGAATGCATGACGAGGCAAGAAGCCTTAATAGAAGATGATGGTACGTGGCCAGGAAAATCATAGAATCGTGTAGTGTTAGTTGATCTAGATATTACTTAGAATTTCATTGCAAGTTTTACCAATTATCGTTAGCCAAGTAAAGTGCCTTGCTTAAATTTCTTGGGATAGATTCGCTTGAAGTATGGAAGATTTTCTTCACAAAGTTAAACATTCTGTGGATTGTGCAATAACAACCGTGATGAACTGGACTTTTGTGCAACATTTGTTGAAATCGTTCAATCATCAAATTTGACCTATTACTCTTGTGTGATAGGAAAGGGAACTCTTCATTTGTGTACGTGTGTGGATATACGTTAATCTACGCCATGAAACAGAATTCTCAAGGATGAAAAGATAAATCTGTGCCAAAAGAATCTTTTCCAAATAGTGTATAAGGGAAGGGTCGTTTAGTACTATTCCAAGTATGTAACATGATGGAAAATCTATGTTGAATCTTGTAAGGAGCTATAGATTGTGTGGTATTGGAGATCATTCCCGGGGACATTGTGTACAGTAACGGAAGTGTTCATTATAGGACTGATAATGTCCTTTTTACGCGACGGTTTCAAGATCAGGATCTGTGAATGTGTTTATACCATAGTGGTGATATGTTTTTTTGTATTCAATGGTGTGAATATTTACTTCCAATATGAAGGATTTATTGAGTAGTTTTGACTGACGGGATTATTTGTGGATTATTTTCTCGTCATGTGAATTAAGTTTCTGCCTTCTTTGTGATAGTCTTACAGGGTGGTATATTTTTGAAAGATGTTCCAAATGTGATATTTAATTTGCCAATTTGTTATTGTGTCAGATGTTCCAAGGACAACTTTACTAGAGCTACTTTATGGCATATATTTGCACCATAAGTACAATTGTTTTAAAAGAATATTCAAAGGTGCTGCAAGTTTACACAATCCATTATGATTAATTAAATAGGGGCCAGATATTACAGATGCATTTAAACATGTCAAGTTTATGTGAGTAGTTTGTAGTTGATGAATAACTTAGAGGTACTGTGGCATACATAGAGGTACTGTAGTTAAGACTAGTGTTAAAGCTTCATGTTTGATTTATGTAGTTTTATAAGGAAAATCATTGTTTTAAGAAAATTGTGTTGTGTGTCATGGTGGCTATATGATTTTGTTGTTTGTTAACATTTTACTAGGAGTAATAAAACTTTTTTAAGATTTCATGATAGTGTCATGTGTGTTGTACAAATTCATCAGTGTGTTTCTGGTTTAGTAAGATTTATGGAAAGTTCAAAAATGAAGAGAAAAAATAGATATACTACAATTTTGTAAAATTCAAAGTTATGTTTCCTTGCACATGTACTGGGAGAAGATGTGTAGGAGGGTGGGGGATACTTTTTTTTCCTGATCCCCAAAACCTGCAATTATTGTTAACCATTGTGTTAGACCCCAACACACAGATTTATCAATTATATGTGCCTCCCCACTTCTTACCTCATTTGAAATACATTAATGCTGATAGTATTGTGGGTTTTTTTCTGGGGACTTGTTGGGGCAAATAATTAGGCCCATTCCAAATTGAAACTATTTCATATTTATGGCTTGTTTCCAAAATGAGACAAAAGGCCCCATACAAAATTAACAGGGGGCGGGGGCACTGTAATGGTATGCTATAAGTGAAACATAACTTTAACAATACACAACAAACAGCAGAAGAAAAAAAATGAAATTTATATTTGATTGCAATGTGAAATTTAATCTTTTTGCTCAAAGTTAAAGAAAATAAAGACTTTGTGATATCACTAATACTTTTATCCAGAGACTTTCTAAGTAAAAAGTGGTATTAAGGTATTAGCTTTCAAATGAAGGAATGATGTAAAATATTGATTATGATAGAATATATGGAAGAAATGAAACCTTTATTTTATCATTTCTTCAATAGACAGACATGTAAGTCTCCTTTTTGGGGATATGTTTTATTAAACTGGATTATTTTTTTCTAAATTTCTTATCAATGCTACTTTTTGTACCTTGTGCACGTAGCAGAAATAGTTCAGACATTTTAACTTCAAAAATTCATGTTAAGTTAAGGTTTGTTCAAAGATTTATACATGTACTTAATTAACTGTCAAATATCAATATTAAGGCAGATATATTTGTATACATTTTTAACTCAACTGGCCCGAAGGCCATATATAGATGCTATATATTATGGGATTTTACATTTAGGAATGTTTAACCATTCTTGTGATCGATTATAAATAAAAAGATCAGTGTTATGGGTTTTTTTTTCAACAAAAATTCAAAAATGTACAGGAACTTTTCTTCAGCTGCAAGTGGCAGCCCTGTCTGCTATTAAGAATAAAGAACATCAATTCTAAACTATACTGCTTACTTTATCATAACTGTTCACAAGAATTATTCAATGTATTAAGCTTGGAAATGCAGTCAGACTTTGTTATTTTAGGAGAACTTTGATATTTTGAATAATATTTATTTTCTTAACCAATGGCAGTTGATTTGCATCAGTTTAAATGAGTTGTACATGTACATAGAATACACCACACAATTTTAAGTTTTCTTAAATAGTGCCATTGACTGACATTTTAACAAGGTCTGACTAAATGCGTGTTAGCTACCAGTAGTTAGTGTCTGTGTTGATGATAAGAACGGATACAGATGGACAGAGATGCGGTAGAAGTAGAAACAGACGGATGAGACAAAGAGACATGTGTAAGGAGGAACCAGACAGATGACGGAGAAGGATCCTACTGCTGACTTGGTGAACAGGAACAATTCGTGCTACTCGATATTTCAAACTTGGGAGATGTGCATTAGGATTTACTAAAAACCCAGCGTTACTTCAAGATGATGTTGGTTTATAACAATTATGTACATGTGTACACCATGATGTCACAAGATGGAGGAATTTTTACATTCAAGTAGTTTTATTTTTCTTTGAAATATTTGATATTAGAATTCCAATCCTAAATTTTAAATCCAGATTCAGATAGCTTTAGGTATTTCTGATAAATCCAGATTCAGATAGCTTTAGTTATTTTCTGATAAATCCAGATTCAGATAGCTTTAGACCTTTCTGATGCAAGTTCTACAAAGTTCAATCTTTGTGTAACATTGGGCCGATGTATGTACATGTACTATACATTGTTATAGAGTAGGATACTATAGGACAGCTATTTACTTTTACATGTGCAGGGAATATATCAGTATCTACAGCTTATTTCTGACTCTAGTTCATGTGTATAGACCAACTGTGAAAAAATGTATTTACAAAATAATTTGTGTCAAAAAACCCAATAAGTAATTCATTTGAATATCTTATTATATTCCGCAATCCTTAAATTCTGAATCGAGCCCATTACAACGATATAACAGTGTTATGCTTTATTTTCGCGGGAAGTTTACCATACCTCAATTATCTTTTTCTGCGGTTGTTGGTTGAACACTAGACATGAACATGAGTATTTGCTGTTGAATTGTTCAGAGTTTTGGTTATACATGTTTACATGGTAATATTATCTAGTCTTAGGTCATTGTTTTTTATTGAATGATGGTTATAACTGATGCCAAAAGTGTTAATTATTTTACCTTGTTTTCTGTACAATTCAGACAATGTGCATTTTTTTTTTTTTTTAGTTTTTATCTCACCTTACCATTAATGCCTTTAATATTATTCTATTTGATATACATAACAAATTATGGCAGCAAGTCTTGCATTGACCATTATTATCCATTGTTGTTTTGAATAGTATAATAAGTTAATTACTTAAAATCTTTTGTAGATTAAAAGAGTAATGAACCCCCAAACTTTATATAGGAAGTCAATAAATTTATTGACTAATATCCCCCAAAACTTAATGAAGGAAGTTAATAAATAAATATTTTTGTGAATTTTTGGTCATTCAGTTAATTCTGTCATTTAGATAATTGTAACGTCATGATTATTTTATTTAGTAATTTCTTTTAAATGTCAATGATTCCCAGTGATACTTTGTTTTTACTTTTAAATCCTATTTGTATATGGATTTGTATAGAATGGATATTGTATTGAAATGAAGATCCTTCCAGGCTATGTATCAATTAATAGCAGTTTTAAGTGCAGTTTATTTTGAGAAAAGAAAATATCTGTAGAAAAGTTTGCCTCAAGTGCCAATATATAACGTTTATTTTTATGGGTTTACAATTGTTAAAGTGTGTTACATTTGCTGTTTTTTATGGTGATATTGATTATAAACATGTACATTTTTATGCCATGTATGGTATGCTATTGTAATCTACACAAAGGATCAACCTCAGCCTGCTGTGGTGGAGACCAAATAGTCAAACGTTTTATGTTTAATGTCCATGTGAACTTTTATCATTGAAACAGGAAAGTGTTCGGAGTGAATCACGAGAAAGACACAAGCGGGTAGGTATCTTTACACAAATGCTTAACACACTGTCCACAGGTCCAGGATAAACACGACAGCTGTGCATGTCTACACCTGCTCGGGGGGCACTTTCAGCATTCAATTCGGGGGTTAATAACAAATTGTTGTTAAGTTAATCGGTCATAAAGTTGTTACTTGCTATATTGGTATGTTGGATTTTTGCTTTCAAATGAAGGAGATATTGTCATGTGTCACTGAAATATTTTTTTGGGAGCATTTAATCTCCATTTTGCCTGTCCCGTTCATCCATCCAAAGTCTTTGTCTAGGTCATAACTAATGATGGCTCGATGACATTCTTGTACCACTCTAGGGTCGGTACACTGAACATCATATTCACATTAAGGTTAAAGGTCTAATTAATTGCCTGGGCACTTATTTTTGACTCGCAGAAGATACCTTCATGAAATTTATGGGATATATAAAGGATGGGAAAGATTTGTGTCTTAAACCAAAATTTGGTCAGTATGCTCAGGGTCACATTGAGGTCAAAGGTCAGATTCATTGTCTTGGCCATAATTTCTGACTCTGAAGATATCTCAATGAAATTTAAGGGATAATGATATGGCAAGGATATGTGTCTTAAACCACAATTAGGTCCACACACCCAAGGTCAAAGTAATTGTCTAGACCATAACTTTAATTTAAGGGATATATGTGGGATGGCAAGGTGGTGTGTCACAAACCATGATTGGTTCCTACACCCAAGGTCATGGTCACATTGAGGTCAAAGATGCATTGTCTGTGCCTTGACTTCTGACTTGCTAAAGATAGCTCAATGGAATTTAAGGGCTATCTGTGGGTTGAAATATGGTGTCGCATACCACTTTGAGGTCTGTATGTCCGCCATCCAGATCACATTGAGGTCACACTTTATTTCAGTCTCTGTGACCTTTTTGGGGAGTGTAATCCATCAGTATACTGATTATCTTGGTTTGGGACTGGTTTCATTATATCATATATCAAATATATCAAATAAATATATCAAATATATCATATCATACTTAAATATTTTGTCATAATTGGGTCACTGTGACCTTCACTTATGTGAAATGCCAAACAATTGTGACATTTTTCACATAAAATCAATAAAAATAAAGATGCATATGAAGGGGATATAGTTTTGCCCTATAGAAACATCCCAAGGTGCATAAGTTTTCATCTTTGTGTACTGTCTATCTGCACAATATTGTCTTTAAGTACCTTCATTGCTTCAACATTAGGTTGTAATAAGCATTGAGTGATGAGAATCAAGCAACAATCCTTTGCCGATAAAATACCCCAAAATAACCTGTGCGTGTGATGAACAATGCAAGACAAGATACAGGTTTACCATGTTATCATCAGTACTGACAAAGTATTTTATTGGTGATACCATGATACATGTAATTGTAAAAGATACTTAGGTTTACATGTATACAGTAGGGTTGTTTCCTGAAGTAAATTGTATTTTACAAGAGACAAATCAAACTATATTTTCCTACAACTACCAGTAATGCAGTCAATATTTTCATTATACAAAAAAAAAAAAATCCAGTTAATACAATGTATGTCATTGATCAGGTTACTGTTATTTCTGTTAAAAAAACACCCTGATATTTTTCAAAAGGGCGATGATTTTAAACACATCAATTTGAGACATGGACACATGCACATGATGGAAAAATTTGCAAGAATCTAAGGGCAAAACAGAACAGTAAAAATATTCTGATAATAGCTTCTTTCCTAATAGGATATTTTCCTAATACAAACATTTCTTCAAGCATTGCAGTACTCCTCGTATGTTATAGAAGTTTTACCAAACAGCTCCTGAAAGATATGGTTAATGAAAAAAGGGTTATTTTCTATTATCTTGTAGAAAGTTTCTACTGTTTGGTTTTCTGTCGCTCCCTAGGGTATGATTTCTCTGTTACCCCTTAGGGGGTATGATTACTCTGTTGCTCCCTAAGGTATGATTTCTCTGTTGCTCCCTAGGGTATGATTTCTCTGTCACTCCTTAGTGTATGATTACTCTGTCGCTCCCTAGGGTATGATTTCTCTGTTACCCCTTAGGGGGTATGATTACTCTGTCGCTCCCTAGGGTATGATTTCTCTGTCACTCTAGTGTATGATAGATTGCACAAAGAAAAAAAAGAATACTATGATGTCACGGGAACAATCATATATGACGTCATAATAAGCTCTTGACAGGAGAGGTCATGTACAAATGAGGATAACAAACAGATAACAAATGCTGAAAAGTGTTGTTTTTAAACATAGTATTAGAATGATGGGAGATAAATGATCAATCCCTACCTTGAGAGTGTGACAGAGAAATAATCACCCCCTACATTGAGATTGTGATGGAGAAGTGTTCAACCTTGGGAATTATTGTTTTGTTTTCTACTTGGCAGAGCCTTGGGCTAGACAACCAAATAAAACCAACTTTGGGGTATGAGATTTCTCTGACACACTCTAAATGAAGGGGAAGATTCTATTACTGGTAATCAACAGAAATATGGGATTCACAAATATATTTGGGATGCCCGACAAGGAAATACAAGTTTTATATCTTTAGGCGATCTATTCGCTAGTATTTTGGATGAAGCAGCATGTTTAAGATGCCCCTCAAATTAAACATGATTTGTGAAGAAAATAAATAACAATACTTGTTAGAAAGCATAATTGACATTATATACATAATTCTGCCACCTTTCTTCTAAATGAAAGTGTGGATTTTGAGATGCTGCATTACTAGAACAATTTTTATAGCATCTGCAAAACAAAAGAGACAGATCTCGTGTTGCTGGTAACTGCAATATGAAGCTGTTATGTCAAACAAATATCAATCTGCTTGACTTCAAATTTTGAAATTTAAATTCTTATTATTTCATTTCTGATAATTTCCAATAATTTTTGAAAAAGTTATATGTATATTTGTCTATTTTCAATAATGACTGAAAAATGTATCCAACATTTCAGAAGTTGAATTCAAAAACTATTAGATTGAATTATTGATATTGCTTCTAACAAAATTGTGCAGAATAAGTTAAAACATCACTTGCATGAAGGACTGGATTGAAGGGAGAATGGTTGGAAATGTTGTTTGTTTAAAGCTAGTTTGCATTGACAGAGCCCGTCACAGGAGAGGGAGAAGGAACGAGACAGGGATAGGAGGGACAGAAAAAGGGTAAGTCAAGGGTGACAACATTAAGATTGAATTGAGCAAATGAATGTCATTTATTTTTATCCAGCACAACCCACAACCCATAGAAGGGGTGCAGTTCAATGTATTGAGGTCACTGTTACCCATCTAGGAAAAAAGTCGATTCAGTGCAAACTTTTTTTTAAACATTGAAAATAGGTGAAAGTTGAATTATACCTGCATCATCTGTAAATGTGCAATGCACTGTAGTTGGGTTACCGTTATAAAATTGGCAGGTCAAAGTGAAGGAATAGACAACTTCAGTGTAAAATTTTGCCTTGATTCAAACCATTGAAGATATCTTGGTAAGACATTGATGAATACAATATATGTATGAGAATCGCAAAAGAAAGTGACCCTACATTTATCAAGCTCCCTCAGGCTGATTAAACTAAAATAACTGCAAATGATTCTGTCATAAGTATTTATTTTTGAAGCCAATTCAAAATACAAGAAAGGCCTGATGTCCTCTTGCAATTGTTGGCCAAGATATTTTTTATTCTTTTTAAATTGAAACTGGCTAATTTTAATCTTACTTAGTACTTGATCCAACTTGATATTACTTGGTCTCAATGTAGCAAAAAACTTCGCAAAAGTCTCGCATGAACTCTGAAATATCTAATAATAAGTGAGCATCATAGTGCCCCTTGTTTTTTCTATACAATTAAGTATAAGGAAATTAATACGTTTTTATGAATTATTCTATTTTTTATCCTAAAGGAAAAAGATATGCATTATAAAGTAAAGGTAAACCCTTATTTGTGTAGCCTCCACCTAACTGCTCCTGTGTATGCTTCCTCCTGTTTGGTACCTGGTCACACACATGTACAAAATATAGGCACTGAAGTTTTATAGCAAAGTAAAAAGTAAGGTGACCCCATAGCCTTTCACGTCCGATCGGGGGCGTCGAACCCAAGCCGCCCTGGAGAAACTCGCGAGTCCGTTATCCACTGCATCACCATCCAAAGTTGGTTTCCATGCAGCAATCCTTAAAAGAACTCTTCGATTTTCATGAAAGATTTTTTGCTCAGGTTTGATTTTGATCCCTATCTGAAAATTAAAATGGCTGCCAGCAGGAAAGGAGACCCGACCCATCCATAACTGGAATTCTTGTGTATAGAAAACTATCCATTCTTCCTGAAACACTGGCTGGATGGTCGACACCCAGATTAGCATTGGCTGCACATATGAGACTTTACTTTGTGTGTTACCCAATTGAACAACACAATTTAAAATAATCAAAATTGATTGCAATGTCTGCTATGCACACTCATATATTCTAGGTCACCAGGGAGCAAGGGAGATAATATAATGGAGTAGGCTTTTTGTATTTTTATATCATTATTTGTAAGGAAATGTATTTCTAATACTGCTTAGATATCAGAATCCTCATTAAAAAAATACAAAATAAAATGAACAACAACTAGAGAATGGGTTACTTCGTTGTTGTGGGGATTTTTATACGATTATTAGGTCACAAATTTATTACTCCTTTGGGAAATCTCATGCAGGACCCTTTGTGTGTGTTGAGACAAATTCAACTTGACCTGCTGGTCATTTTACGTGTCTCTAAAACAACTCATTTCATCACATGAAAGTGACCAGTGTAAGGTTCATTCCTTAAATATATTTGTATATCCAGAATATGGTAACCCTGAAAACTTTATCTGGTATGTAAAGCACACTGCATACAGTTCGGCAATATATTCTTTTAATGCAAATATTAATGGCAGTAGTATAGAATCTCTTGTAATGTCACATTTAGCTTAAATTTGAAATACATTATATTCAATTTAATGGGTATAACAAATAATCACTTGCTGTCGTTAATCTTTAATATATTATACAATGTCTTGGGCCATGCATCAATGATTCATTCCAAAGCATCTTCCAGCGATTAAAATAATTTTGTCTTAAACATTAGCAAGCATGAGAGCAGTGGAAATTCTGTTAGAATTAGATTACTCGGTGCAATATAATATGCCCATATTGATGTAGAGTTCAATATATAGAGGATTTGTCGTAAGTTTCCCTTCATATTAGATTTATGATACAAGTTTTGGATTTTGAAAATTCCAAAACAAGTATCATAAATCCGATAAGAATGGAAACAAATGACAGATTCTTTTTATCATATAATATAAAAGTAAACTGTATAATTGTGATCTGAAATGAATATTTTGCACTTTGCCGCCTCTGAAATGATGAAAATTGCGTCCGCTTCACAATGACGTGACGTCACATTGATTGTTCCTATTTGATTGTGACGTCATTTCCGGATTGATATTACACATGTTACATACATAATTTATGTGATGGCTTCATGACATCGCATAACATGGTATTGATATGATATAAAGAGGTCTCATTTTGAAGTTCAGTGAACAGCTTAATATAAAGAGGGCTCATATCGAAGTTCAGTAAACTGGGGGACAATGAATAGGATTGATCTCGGTATGGAGCTGAGCCATAGACCCATCACATTAAAGAGTTCAGTATGATCATCTTAATGTTTCAAACTACTCCTGTATCTTGTTACTCTTTTACATAGCTTTAGATCAGATATAAATCCTGAGATGTTCATTACATTAATTTTGAAGCAAGTTCATTTTCAGATGGAAGTTAAATTATTTAAAGTATTAAAAATCTGATTGTTATTATTTCACACAAACCATCCCAGTACATTCATTGCAAAACAGGTACATATTTTTAGCCTACCTATGACTAAATTTGATTATCTCCCTTGTGTGACATTCTCCTTGTTACCTATAGTTAAGAATAAACTGATGTTTTGTTATGAGTCCTGGGTATTGCTCAGAAAATACATACATTGTAATATGCAATAATTCTATGTGGGGAAAATTAGTAATTCTACAACATGTAGTAGCTGATGCCCAATAAAACTTTTAAACAATTTAAGATTAATTTGTGACGGTTTATTAAAAGATGAAATATAACATTAAAACTCTGTATTATATAATTATGTCAAAAGAGAGATGTCGGTATCAAGAGAAAATTTCTGCAACAGTTTTAAGTTATGTTTAGTGGTTCATAGGAGAAGTTGCATGTGCTTATCTCTTGGGTTGCATGTGGTTTTGGTGTAAGGCAAAATAGGTGTCTAACCAATTACGACACTGAAAGTATTGCTGAACTAGATTTCACAGTTATCATAATCTTACTTATTATTAGCTCACCTGGCAATCAGTCATCATTTCAACTAAACTGGCAAAGCTGACACATCCACATTTGTGTAATTCTAGTTTTATGTGCAACTAGACCGAATATTGATAGATCTCATAAACCATTCATGCACATTTTTAAAAGGTTTTCAAGAAATGTCTAAAATTTTACATTTTCTCTTTTTCCATAATTCCTAGTAAGGACCATCACGTGTGTTTTCATTCAATTTTTTAATTTCAAAACGTACAAAAAACGTACTAGATGAAAGTTTTGTCTCAACTGGTTAAACTAACCAGGCTGATTAAATGGGTCTGACTCGTATGCCGCGTTACTTGGATAACGTGCATATGTTTAAAATTAAGGAAGATAAAGTTGTATGTAGCTGTATGTGAAAAAGACCCCATGAGGTGGGTGTGGTGATAGATATATATTTACACCAATTCAAAACAATTACCAAATGTTCTGTGTCTTGTAGGACAGCCTTGATGACCGAGTTGAGGTGGAGACCAAGAGGAGGAAAAGCCTGGAGCCATCCAGTAGTGAGTTTTATACATTGGATCAGTGTTAAGTCACACAAAAAGTATATCCCAATTATAATAGCATTGCAGCTAGTTATTAGCTCACCTGGCACGAAGTGCCAAGTGAGCTTATGCCGTGGCACGGCGCCCGTCGTCCGTCCGTCCTCGTCCGTCAACTTTTCCTTTAAACAACTTCTTCTGAAGAACGGACAGGCCTAAAGTCATGATATTTGGCTGAAAGCTTCGTTGGTAGGAGCCCTACAAAGTTTGAGAACGAAAATGACCTTGACCTGTTTTCAAGGTCACAGGGGTCAATTATGTCAAAAACTTCAAACGACTTCTTCTAAAGAACTAAAAGGTATAGAATCTTAATATTTGGCTGATGGCTTCCTTGGATAGAGCCCAACAAAGTTTGAGAATGGAAACTAGTTTGACCTACTTTCAAGGTCACAGGGGTCAAATGTGTCAAACACTTCAAACGACTTCTTCTGAAGAACTGAACGGTATATAATCTTTATATTTGGCTGATGGCTTCCTGGGATAGAGCCCAACAAAGTTTGAGAATGAAAATGACCTTGACCTACTTTCAAGGTCACAGGGGTCAAATGTGTCAAACACTTCAAACGACTTCTTCTGAAGAACTGAAAGGTATATAATCTTTATATTTGGCTGATGGCTTCCTGGGATAGAGCCCAACAAAGTTTGAGAATGGAAACTAGTTTGACCTACTTTCAAGGTCACAGGGGTCAAATGTGTCAAACCCTTCAAACGACTTCTTCTGAAGAACTGAAAGGTATATAATCTTTATATTTGGCTGATGGCTTCCTGGGATAGAGCCCAACAAAGTTTGAGAATGGAAACTAGTTTGACCTACTTTCAAGGTCACAGGGGTCATATATGTCAAAAGCTTCAAATGACTTCTTCTGAAGGACTGAAAGGGATAGAATCTTTATTTTTGATTGATGGCTCCTTGGATAGAGCCCGACAAAGTTTGAGAATGAAAATGACCTTGCCCTACTTTCAAGGTCACAGGGGTCAAATGTGTCAAACCCTTCAAACGACTTCTTCTGAAGAACTGAAAGGTATATAATCTTTATATTTGGCTGATGGCTTCCTGGGATAGAGCCCAACAAAGTTTGAGAATGAAAATGACCTTGACCTACTTTCAAGGTCACAGCGTTCAAATATGTCAAACAGTTCAAACAGCTTCTTCTGAAGAATTAAAAGGCATAAAATTATAATATTTGGCTGGTGACTTCCTGTGATAGAGCTCACCAAAGTTTGCAAATGAAAATGACCTTGACCTACTTTAGAGGTCACAGAAGTCAACAACATTTTAATGGATTTGTTCTGGAGAACTAAAAGGAATGGATTCATAAGATTTGGCTGGTAGCGTTTTGAAATAGAGCTAACCAATTTGAGAAGGAAAATGACATTGACCTACTTACAAGATCACAGGGAAAAATATGTCAGCAACTTCTGAAGAAGAATCAAAAAGCATAGAATCTTATAATAATATTTTGCTGGTAGTTTCAACAGATGGAGCCAACAAAGTTTGCGAGGGAAATATTTTTAGTGTAATATAATATTTAATGAGAATATTTTGCTATGACTGCTTAAATATTCAGGTGAGCGATACAGGCCCTCTTGGGCCTCTTGTTTAGGATGTAATTATTTTTAGACTAAGTAGCTGTTTAATAAGTGAATGTCCAAAAGTTTACAGCTATTTAGGAAATAATGGAATCAATTTTGTATTTCCTAAGAATTAAAGTATGAAAAAGAAAATGGGGATAGAAGGTGTTTTGTTATAAGGTTATGGTGTGTGTACAGTAGGTTCATATTTATGACATGCAAACTTCTAATTTAATTCTGCCCTGTCTACAATTAAAATAATTTATTACTGTAAACTGTTTAAAGTTGCTTGATTTCTGTAGTAATGACTTGTGTCAATGGCCGTTCTAGGTAAATCAAGTTCAAAGGTCAATGGAGATGCAGAAAGACATGTCAGCAAATCTACAGAGAAACAGAAACACGACAAGCTGATGGCTTCAGCTGTGGTACAGGTAAGTTTATCAAAAACAAGTAATGTGTGTAGGGTCTTCACAAGGTCAATCTACAGAGAAATCTCAGAAACACAACAAGCTGATGGCTTCAGCTGTGGTACAGGTAAGTCCATCAAAAACAAGTAATGAGTGTAGGGTCTTCACATGGTCAATCTACAGAGAAATCTCAGAAACACAACAAACTGATGGCTTAAGCTGTGTTACAGGTAAGTTCATCAAAAACAAGTAATGAGTGTAGGGTCTTCACACGGTCAATCTACAGAGAAATCTCAGAAACACAACGAGCTGATGGCTTCAGCTGTGGTACAGGTAAGTCCATCAAAACCAAGTACTGAGTGTAGGGTCTTCACACGGTCAATCTACAGAGAAATCTCAGAAACACAACAAGCTCATGGCTTCAGCTGTGTTACAGGTTAGTCCATCAAAAACAAGTAATGTGTGTAGGGTCTTCACAAGCTCAATCTACAGAGAAATCTCAGAAACACAACAAGCTGATGGCTTCAGCTGTGTTACAGGTAAGTCCATCAAAAACAAGTAATGAGTGTAGGGTCTTCACACGGTCAATCTACAGAGAAATCTCAGAAACACAACAAGCTCATGGCTTCAGCTGTGGTACAGGTAAGTCCATCATGAAAGGTGCAACTGTTTTGCAGGCAAGTCAGTCTACATAAATGCAGAGGTCAACATGGTAAATCTTGGTGTACTTTGTAAGTTCATCACAAATCAAGTGACGAGCTCGGATATAACGGGATGAATATAAAAACAAGCACATCGTTATATCTGAACACATTATCCATTTACTGTTATGTTGATTATTCCCCTATCTGTTACCTTGAGGGACTATAGGTTTGCACGCTGTTCATCTGTCAAATTTTGTCTGTCTAAAAAGTGTTTTTGGAGAACTATTTCTATACTATTTCACCTGGAGTAACCAGATTGGGCAAGTACATCTTGGGATAGGGGAGTGAAAGTATGAGAATATAGGTCAAGTACCTATGTTTTAACCTTAGTCTTTGAAAATGTTTGTCTATGGCATATCTTCTATAGTATTTCAACTGAAGTAAACAAATCGTTATTTAAATGTATCTTGGAATCGTAGAGTGTGACAAGTAGGTCACCTATGTTTTGACCTTTGACCTTAAACTTTTAAGAGTTTGTCCGGAACATATGGTCTACTATTTTACTAAAAAAAAACACTGATTTAGTACATACGTACATCTGATGATGAGAGAGTACAGTGTATGAAAAGTAGGTCACTGTAATGTATGCATTGACCTCATTCATTGAAAATGTTTTTCCAGAGCATTCTCCTATATTAATTAACTTGGCATAACCAGATTTGGCACGCAAGTACACCTTGGGATGATGTGCAGAGTGCAAGAAATAGGTCACTGTGACCTATGATATCACTTCAAGATTAGAACTTGCCCTGTTATTTAATTTCACAATTCATGCACCCACATTGTATGTGTGATAAATTATTTTTTAACAAGATTACCACTAAAACATGCAAGTTTTCAGTTATTTAACGATGTGAATGACTAAATGGATGTAACTTTATTAAGGTGTCTTAATTAAAGACTGTATTTATTGAAAGAAACATTAATAGTTTAGTGAGGCAATTTTCAGACCGTCGTATCTTAAGATTACTCATGTTTGATAGGAGGACGAGGCATCTCCACAGAGAACAAAAAAGGACAAGGAAAAGTCCAAGAAGAGTGACCGCGGTGACAAAGAAAAGAGTAAAGACAAATCGTATCCTTATACATCAAATAGCCCATTAAGCCATTAACATTTTATAGAATTTTGTAATACAATTCCTTACCTAAGGACGTATTTTATAAAGACTTATTTGATTGGCTAGTTGGACTTGTGTATGTCGTATACAAAACTTAAGTTTGTTATAATTTTTCTGGTTACTGACAACTACTGGTATCCTCATTTTGTACATTAAGTCGATGTACAGGAAAGGTGTTGCAAAACTGTTCAAGGTTTAATATTTAGCCATACGTGTAATATGTAAATTTCTCCAATCAAATGACACCACTAACATGACTATAAAAAAGACGTTATAGGCATATTTAAAAAAATCTATTTTTATCTTCCTTAACTTTCATCTCAGGTCCAGTTCAAAGAAGAGCAAAAAATAATGACAAGTGTTCTTTATCAACAACAATAATGTAATACTTTGAAGGAGATTGTCAAGATATCCTGATAAATTATTTTGTGACTTTGTTTTATGTTCATTGCATATGTATAGATCATCAAGATTGTGTTATTTCTGACAGTGCTAAGCACATTAGTGGACGGAAGTTGTTTTTTTAGTTTGAAAGAAGAGAATATATTTTCCTGGATGGGAATATGTGCTGTATTTGATGAATGAGGGTTGTGAAAGGACGGTTTAGTTTGTCTATTGTTAAGTCTTTCATTCAAGCCGAGAACTTGTTGATTTTGTTAGTGATAGTATAAGTGATGCGAGTGTACTACAAGGACGAACAGTTCCGATACCCGATAGGCTGTGAGCAACTGTTAGATGTCTGTCTGAGGAGGACAAGGTCGGTACAAATGAAATCATGGAACAAAAAGGCAAACTTGTTTGAATAATTTTATTATCATGAAACTAAAACAAAGTAAATTATATGTACAACATGAAAAAATGTGTTTTCGTTTTCACTTTTTTTTTTTTTTATCTTTTTCACTTTTTTGATCAAAGAAAAGTGAGCTTTTGCTAACCCCCCTGCAAAAATGTCTGTGTCTCCAATGCTCAAGTTTTTGTTGAATGTTTTTTTTATATGTTCACAATTCATTTATTATTTGCACTAATTTGGAAAAAAAATCAATGCAGTTTCTTAAGGGTCTCGAGTCGGTGTCGAGTAACCCATTGCGATCCTTTTATTCCGTCGTATATCGTCCGTTTTACTAAAGGCATTTAATTTATGAGGATGCCCTGACATCTTCAAGACTAAGTTCTATTTTTCAGGTTTGTCAGAAGTTGAACAATGCCGTCATTTTTGATAACTATTTCAAAGTTGAAACTGTTGTTTTGTGCTGATTTTTTACGGGTCGATCAGAAATTGGTTACGGGCGCCATGTTCACGTATTTAAAGCTCAAGTTCTAATGACCCAACCTGAACGTTAGAAGGAACAGTATATACTGATGATCCCGACAATGTTTTATTTTTCCCGGTGATCAGAAATACAGTATGACTACTATTTTGAAAACTAACTGAATTTCTTATAGGTCTATTTAACTGAAACACATTAGGAATAATCTGATTGCCCTTTTTTTGGATCGATCGGAAATCCGGTACAAATGGTTTGGACATTGGCACCACTGCAGCTATGTCGAATACATATTTTCATAGAAAATTCTAGTTCTGTTGAGTCTTTGGTGACGGGGAAAGGTTTTCTAGTATCTATTATGAAAAGCACTAGAAAACAAGTTTAAGCATCAATGAGGCCTGTAGGTGGTGATCGAATTATCTTAACGGCATTAATAGCTGCGGGAACAGTAGCTTTTTGGCCCGATTGTTTTTCTTTTCTTTTCTTTTTGTTATCGGACCATAGATAGACAGATTGAGCCTAGAATCTACGGTTCCAGCAGCTACGGCATTAAGTATCCATGGAGTTTCGCGGCTTGATGTTTGGCATGGGAACTACTGGTAACGATCACCTTTTACCGTTTTGAAACATTACTACTTGGGTTGATATTATGGTATGATGTTCAAATTTTATATGTATGTTCCCCTTGGTCCCTAGCTGTGCAGGGCAACTTTTGAGACTGATCGGATTAACAACATGGCTGACAGGCAGCCATCTTGGATTTTGATAGTAAAAAGTTTGTTATCGCTATTTCTCGGGAAGTACAGGAGGGATCTTTCTCAATTTTTAGCCCATCAAATGATGGTGGGCTATTCAAATCACCCTGCGTCCGTGGTCCATCCGTCCGTCCTTAAACAATTCTTGTTATCGGTATTCCTCAAGAAGTACCTAAGGGATCTTTCTCATATTTTATATGTAGGTCTCCTTGGTCCTTAGCTGTGCAGGGCAACTTTTGAGAATAATCGGATAAACAACATGGCCGACAGGCAGCCATCTTGGATTTTGATAGTGAAAGTTTGTTATCGCTATTTCTCAGGAAGTACCCAAGGGATCTTTCTCAAATTTGATGTGTAGGTTCTCCTTGGTCTTTAGCTGTGCAGTGCAACTTTTGAGACTGATCAGATAAACAACATGGTCGACAGGCAGCCATCTTTGATTTTGATTGTGAAAGTTTGTTATCGCTATTTTTCGGGAAGTACCAGAGGGATCTTTCTCAAATTAAAGTACATTTTTCAGTTTCGATTTGAATCGAACTGTCCGCAATTTAGAAAATGTGATTGTCTTTTTCCCAGATTTTCTATACAAATACTGCCAGGGTGTCTTCTTTGAGGTGCGAGTTTTGTGTATTTCTTTTTGGGAAGACCTGAATGGAGTGGATCATGTCAGGTTTTAACTAGGGTTGGAGAATTCAAAATATGTTTTATTCTGTTTTACATATTACAAACATTTTCATGTTATGTGTAATTTAAATGTGCTGAAGCATTGTGTTAAATGCTGTGGAAATATTTCTTCCCAAAATTATTTGGGCCACCAATATGTCATTTGAGCCAGTGCTTCCAATTTTTAGCTCACCTGGCACAAAGAACTAAAGAACTAAAAGGTATAGAATCTTCATATTTGGCTGATGGCTTCCTGGGATAGAGCCCAACAAAGTTTGAGAATGAAAATGACCTTGACCTACTTTCAAGGTCACAGGGGTCAAATGTGTCAAACAATTCAAACGACTTCTTCTGAAGAACTGAAAGGTATAGAATCTTTATATTTGGCTGGTGGCTTCCTGGGATAGAGACCAACAAAGTTTGAGAATGAAAATTAGTTTGACCTACTTTCAAGGTCACAGGGGTCAAATATGTCAAAAACTTCAAACGACTTCTTCTGAAGAATTAAAAGGTATAGAATCTTCATATTTGGCTGATGGCTTCCTTGGATGGAGCCCAACAAAGTTTGAGAATGAAAATTACCTTGACCTTCTTTCAAGGTCACAGGGGTCAAATGTGTCAAACACTTCAAACGACTTCTTCTGAAGAACTGAAAGGTATATAATCTTTATAATTGGCTGGTGGCTTCCTGGGATAGGGCCCAACAAAGTTTGAGGATGAAAACTAGTTTGACCTACTTTCAAGGTCACAGGGGTCATATATGAAAAAATGCTTCAAATGACTTCTTCTGAAGAACTGAAAGGTATATAATCTTTATATTTGGCTGGTTGCTTCCTGGGATAGAGACCAACAAAGTTTGAGAATGAAAACTAGTTTGACCTACTTTCAAGGACACAGGGGTCATATATGAAAAAACGCTTCAAATGACTTCTTCTGAAGAACTGGTAGTTATAAAATCTTAATATTTGGCAGGTGGCTTCCTGGGAAAGAGCCAAACAAAGTTTGCGAATGAAAATGACCTTGACCTTCTTTTAAGGTCACATGAGGCAGAAATGTCAAACACTTTAAACGACTTCTTCTGAAGAATTAAAAGGTATAGAATCTTCATATTTGGCTGATGGCTTCCTTGGATGGAACCCAACAAATTTTGAGAATGAAAACTACCTTGACCTTCTTTCAAGGTCACAGGGATCAAATGTGTCAAACACTTCAAACGACATCTTCTGAAGAACTGAAAGGTATATAATCTTTATATTTGGCTGGTGGCTTCCTGGGATAGAGCCCAACAAAGTTTGAGAATGAAAACTAGTTTGACCTACTTTCAAGGTCACAGGGGTCATATATGTCAAAAGCTTCAAATGACTTCTTCTGAAGAACTGAAAGGTATAGAATCTTTATTTTTGATTGATGGCTTCCTTGGATAGAGCCCGACAAAGTTTGAGAATGAAAATGACCTTGACCTTCTTTCAAGGTCACAGGAGTCAAATGTGTCAGACACTTCAAACGACTTCTTCTGAAGAACTGAAAGGTATATAATCTCTATATTTGGCTTGTAGCTTCCTAGGAAAGAGCCGAACAAAGTTTGAGAATGAAAATGACCTTGACCTTCTTTTAAGGTCACATGAGGCAGATATGTCAAACACTTTAAACGACTTCTTCTGAAGAACTGGTAGTTATAAAATCTTAATATTTGGCAGGTGGCTTCCTGGGAAAGAGCCAAACAAAGTTTGCGAATGAAAATGACCTTGACCTACTTTCAAGGTCACAGCGTTCAAATATGTCAAACAGTTCAAACAGCTTCTTCTGAAGAATTAAAAGGCATAAAATTATAATATTTGGCTGGTGACTTCCCGGGATAGAGCTCACCAAAGTTTGCAAATGAAAATGACCTCAACCTACTTTAGAGGTCACAGAGGTCAACAACATTTTAATGGATTTGTTCTTGAGAACTAAAAGGAATGGATTCATAAGATTTGGCTGGTAGCTTTTTGGAATAGAGCTAACCAATTTGAGAAGGAAAATGACATTGACCTACTTACAAGATCACAGGGGAAAATATGTCAGCAACTTCTGAAGAAGAATCAAAAAGCATAGAATCTTATAATAATATTTTGCTGGTAGTTTCAACAGATGGAGCCAACAAAGTTTGCGAGGGAAATGTTTTTAGTGCAATATAATATTTAATGAGAATATTTTGCTATGACTGCTTAAATATTCAGGTGAGCGATACAGGCCCTCGTGGGCCTCTTGTTTACTCGCCACAAAAAAATAATTTGGGCCAGCCAATGCATGTTCCCTACTATCCTTTATTGAGCTCCAAGATCCATTTGGTATCTCTTATTTTTAGGTCACCTGAGCTTTAGCTCAAGTGACCTATTGCTATTCGTCTTCGTCCGTCGTCGTGCGTCGTCCATTAACATTTTCAACTTAAGCAGAAATACCGGCAAAGGGATTTCATTAATATTTCATGGAAAGGTTACTGACATCTCCCTGACCAAGTGTTGTTATTTTTTGGGTCGTTCAGAAAGCCAATATGGCCGCCACGGCCGCCATTTTGAAAAACCTTTTCAAACTTTTAAGTCAAGTTCTGCTCGGCCGATTGAACTGAAACTTTGTAGGAATGATCGAATCATGGTCCTGACAAAGTGTTGTTATTTTTCGGGTCAATCAGAAATCCAATATGGCCGCCATTTTGAAAAACTATTTTAAACTTTAAGTCAAGTTCTGCTGGGCCGATTGAACTGAAACTTGGTAGGAATGATCGACTCATGGTCCTGACAAAGTGCTGTTATTTTTCGGGTCGATCAGAAATCCAACATGGCCGCCACGGCCGCCATTTTGAAAAACCTTTTCAAACTTTTAAGTCAAGTTCTGCTAGGCCGATTGAACTGAAACTTTGTAGGAATGATCGACTCATGGTCCTGACAAAGTGTTGTTATTTTTCGGGTCGATATGTAATACAATTTGGCTGCCATGGCCACTATGTTGAAAATACCTATTTCATTCTTAAAAACAAGTTCTAATAGGCCGATCTAACTGAAAATCGGTCTAGGAAAGATCAGCTCATGGTCCTGACAAACTTAAGTTAACGTTATACTTAACAATTTTTTACTCAAATTGGTACATATTTCAACAACAAAAATAAATACTATAGGACTCAGTTGACCGTTAAGGCCCATGGGCCTCTTGTTATAAAACGACCCTTCCCCAACAGAAATTACACTTTTTATCCAAATCATGATTTCACCAAGTTAACACCTGTCTTAAGAGTGGTGGCTAACCACGAATACGTTGACTTTGGATTATTTCTGTATTTCTTATTGCGATGTGATTGGCTTTATTAAGTATCTCTTAACACTGTTCTTTTTCTTCGTATTGCCAGTTTTAGTACACTTTTGTGACCTTTGACACCATATACTTGTTGGAAAGTTATATTTTTCTAAGCTGGTAAACATGGTTAATACTTGATCAGGTACTACAACTTGCTATTTCTGCTACTTGAAATAAACTATTCTTTGAGGAAAACGAAATGCAATTAAAACCCCATGCGCGCTTCTATCCGAACCAACAAGTGATTAATATCGGTAAAAAAAACTTATTTCATAAGTGTTTGAAGGAATAAAGTATACAAGGGTATAACATAGTCATGTCCTTGATAACTCCACTAGATGTCAAAAACATTGTCTACATTGTTCGACAGGTCGGAAAGACGACGATGTACAATGTGTGTAGTACATTTGTAACTTACTACTAATATTGATGTAGAGTGGTTTATTGATAAATAATCTTTAACATATAATAATTAATATAAGTACAGTCGTGAATCTATTAAGGAGTGGTCTTTTCACATATATAGACTGATTTCATGATATTTGATCTGCTATTATGCAAAAGTTAATTCCTATTAAATACCATTATGTAAAAACAAGGCGAGAAGAACTTCGTCATTTTCTCTGAATGCGATGCAAGTAAATTGGGATCAAATTCCCTCTGATTGCATTCAAATCGAATTACCATGAAGTAATGCGCGATTTATAATGCAATATAAAGTAAAAAAGGGTTCATGTTCATTTTAAAATGTTTATACAATTTGTGTTAACAGGAGGAGAAATGTACACACTATTTACTCTCACCAAAACCGAAATTAATTTTACAAGAAGGTTAAGTAGATCAATTGACCTCCACATGGTCAGCCATGAAATCATTAAACTGGTTACGCTGTAAGGTAATGGACAAGGGGAAAACGAGATATTAAAATGCTAGTGAAAAAATCGGGTTATAATTATAGTAAATGTAAAACTGAATATGTTTTATTGGTTAACGAGATCCTTGTATACAGGAAATCCCGCTTCTTGAAGTAGACTCGGGGTTCTGGAAACTGGTAAGATATGAAGCTATCGGATAGGACTGTCTGTGTTCTGTTAAAAGTTCCAAACTATTTCAATCTACCACGTGAGGTGATCTCCATACATTGATAACTTCGTTAAGTTTCTCGGGCAATAATGGCCTTGCTGTTTTCTCATTTATCCCAAGAAATTGAAGAACGCTCGGTGTTTCGTCTTGTTTTCGATGTCGACAGCCTCTACCTCTATTTCGGTACCTCCAAACGTCATACTGACAAGATTTCCTCTTTTAAGCCCGCTGGTTGTATCTGCCATATCGATGACGATATATCCAAGGTTTTGACATCCCGGATCGTTGATATAGACTGGGTGTTCTTTATTGGAGGCAAATATTCCTATTTTCATAGAAGTTTGGTTTTCGCGGATAACAAAATGTTTGAATGGTTTGCATGCTTGTCCTATCTTAACAGAATCCCCCATTTTGGCATGCATCTGAAAGATGTTTCTGCATCGTATTCCCTTGACATCGTTGGTCTTATACTCTTCTTTGTGAAAACCGTCGATAAATTTACTTCTGCAAGATGCTCCATATGTGAACTTGCAAACACGTTCCGATATGGTAGCTGGAGTGTGACCGTTAATTACGGCGCCTTTAAGGACAGCTAGACCGGCTTCTCCTGGAACAACCCTCCTTAGATTGGGGCATGCATTCTTAATGGCATTTTGCAAAAGGGGACACTCAGAATACCCTCCTACCATCAAGATGGCAGCCACACCAGAGACTTCCGGGAGTCGAAGTAGCATTTGTACCTGGTTGCTGATACTCTTGAGAGACGATAAAAAGAGCGATCTGGTCAGGTTAGCGGACAAACGGAGCTTATCTCCTCTCCAAGTCACGTCTCCCGAATATTTAGGATTTTTAGCGATCAGGTTCCCGAGGTCGGCTCCAGGGTTAGATCGTTTGAAAGTCTCTAGCAGGTTTAAAGGAACTGAGAAAGTAACTTTGTCGTCACCTGTAGCTGGTATTGATCTCTTCTTCACCTCAAAGGTCCGATGCATTTCCAACAAATCTGGCACACACTCTTTCTTGAAGGTTTCGAAGGTGTTTGGCCCCAAAAGGTCACTGAGTAAACGTTCGAACTCCTCGTCCACTTTCGTTCCTCCCCAGTCCCCACCATTTGCTTTGTATAACTCCCGAAGTGTCCCCCCAGGCTTCACTTCATGGACAGTGATGTCGATTGTGCCCCCTGTCATAAAAGTTAACGACAGAAATGCATATTAAACACGAACAGTTCTATGACATACGTCATTCGCTATATAAAGATTAAGGTTATCATTTTGAGTCAGCTTTATTGACGATGCATCTTTCCAGATGCTCCAGCACGGATTAAATAATTTCGAAATATTTATATTTGAACTATAATACTATAACACTATAATAGTCAGCAGACTAAATTATGTTATAGTAATACAACATGTATTGCATTCTCCATTGCATTGCAAGGGGAAGATGTGGGCCTTATGACAACCATGGGGATCTTCTCATTGCCTCAAGAAAGTATCTGATAAACAGTTTCTTGGGTACAATGAAGTGATTTTAACTTGCTTTTTTTTGCACGGAGCATTCTTGGGCCAATGGAATTCATTAATGGAAGTAACGGATGTGGCACACTCTTGAAACGCTGGGACGGAGACCAAAATATAAAAAAAGAGGTACACTTTTCAATAACTACAACTTAAGTACGAGTAACACGATTTTGATTTAATTTTGTATTGGACATCCCCGGTTCGAAGGAATTCAATGTTTTATAAATGAAGACTCTGGCCTCCTTTTAGAAAATGGATGAAATAATTTGTTAAAGACGAGTTTGGATGAAATAACTGGAGCCTCGTTAAGCACGAACCATCCGCCAATGTTGTTTAAATACAATGAGTGTTTCTTTTTGGAGACCTGAGCGGGGCCTTATAAAGGAAATTGGACCAAAACATCTACTACGCGAATGTTCACCGAAATGGTGTAAATCATCATCTCGTAAGCAGTTGTTGGTTTTTCGGACAAATTTCAAATCTAAGATGGCTGACTTTATTTCGAGGTTCCCAAATTACCAGGTAACTATTATTGCCAACGTGTTGTGCATAGCTTTAAAGCAACATATAGCATATACGACTCTACGGTACTTTTTACTGCAAGTTTGTAATTATTATGCCAATCGAAAACTTACCACCTGCATCCAGTACCATGTATCTGTATCCATCCCTGAACACCGTGAACTTGTCCCCCGCCGTCTCCAGTGGCAGGTATTTACAGAATAAGGAGGCCGCCTCGGGCTCCAGTGCCAACTGTAACTGGTTGTTAGGGATTCCTGCCTTTCAATAAAATCAATTGGGCAATTGACGGAGTTTCATAGCGACCGGTTGATCAATGGGAGCGTTAAAGGCGATCTATTCTCGACAGTATCGACATTTTGGAATTGTGCAAGAAATTTATATTTTTGATATTCACTTATATTTTTTTGAGCAAATGATACACATTACAAAGTACTTTATGATTAGCATGGCTAAGGATCCACGAGTTCGTCGATTTCGTTATTGGTAGATCAAATGTCCACAAGTATTCCTTAACTCGTCAACAAGAATATATAAAATTCAGCATTTTGTCTTTAAGCATCGCCGATAACATGTTATAGGCATAAAACCTGTGCACTGCATGTTTTTCTTTTATAATATATAAACACAGGAAAGTCGTGTTACCTCTACTGCAGCTTCCCTCATGAACTGCTTGGCGGGATCGCTCCATATTGCCGGCACTGTCAACACCCATGCAATGTCGTGCATCCGAACGTCCGCTCCACGTGTTTTACACGTGCGTAGGAGATGGTCTTTTAGGTAGCCAATAGCAGAGGAAAAAACCTTCATGGCCGTCATTGTCTTGCCATCAAGGGCTTTGATATGGAATGTTCTGTTCAGCTCCTGGATGGAGAACGGAGCTCATACATTGCGTTTGCGACATGAGGAATGATAACAATAAAATAAGGAAATACAGAAGTGTTAACAAAACAATAAATCTATAATAAATAATAAAACAAGTCTTCAAAGCGAGAACCGGGGAAGTGAAAACAAAATAACAAGGTGCATTCATGAGCATAGTTAAAAATCAACCGTCACATCACACAAGGAAATATGATATTACCAAAGAGATCATGATGGCGATCAAATGACTTGCCCATAGTCTTCATCCATATGCATCTCTAGAATCCTTATGTTGAAAGTTTGTCGTCAACAGTCTACATTTAATACCAAATCAACTGAGACAGGTAAACATCGTAGTTTGGGGAAACAGCAATGTTACTTTCAAGAAAGGGAAAGATCACATTCGTTTAAAATGCTTAAAAATCTAGCCATCGTTTCAAAAAAGATAATACCAACAAGAAACTCTATTATTGCACGATTTCATCAAATCTTATTTTATTTTACTTTTGTCCTTTGATCAGGATTGATACAATTGTCTTTAGAGTTCTTCAAATCCACTTCCAGGAATATTAACATCTAGAGTGTGCAGTCACATTCTGATTGTAACCCTGATTTGTATTACTAAGAATGGTAGGCAGAAGAATGAATTACAATTGATGAATAGCACTATTCTCTGTTCTAACGCTTCTCATCCGATATGTTAAACGGAGAAATATACAATAAAGATCAGGACTGGCTTCATTTGCAGTTCCGTGTATTTGTCAAAACAAATTCACAACAATATGATTAGTCTTACTTAATAATGACTATAAGAACATTTGTTCACAAAATATACCTTTTGCTGGTATAGAATCATCTTGAACCTCCGGAAGTAGTACCAGTTTTTGTGGAGGTTGTCAAATGCTAAATCACAGTACTTGTCCTCCGCTTCGAAACCAAAGGAATGGAAATTGCCTTTTGGATCAAACAGTACACAGGTTGATGTCTTCAGGGACTGGAGACAGCCCGAACCTGCCGACCACGTGACTGATGATACGTTTTGGGGGCCGGACTGAAAGTCGTTCTTTGTAGAGAATGCATATCCGGAGAAAGTTGTGCCGAAGTCGATAGCAGCCGACAACAGATGGCTAGTGCCCGCGGCCATGTTATCTATCATAGACGTATAACGCTTGGGCTAAGTTCATCTGGGTCTACCCCAAATCAGAACATTGATTGCAGTTTTACAGTCTGTATATCGTCCTATTGAATCCGTTTAGTCAATCGCTTGTAATCGCTGTATCACCTGAAACACAGTGATCTTAGACCGTATAATGTATATTAATAATATAATCGACCACCTAATAATATTGGAAAACAATAAAGATAATTAAAGACATATAACAGCGTTACTGAAGAACATAGAACGTTTTCGAATTTTTACGACAGAATAACCGTTAATCGTAAAAGTTGCATATCAATGTGGCATCTTTAACTAATAACTCGTATAATTTTGGTAAAGGTAATTAATTGACCAAGTGAAATGTGCTTCCATACACTACCTAGTAGATGTAGCACGAATATATACCACTTAGGACATTTAAGTGGGAATCACATGCTCTCCCTTTGGTGAGCTTTTTACCCATCCTGATATACATCCATGTAAATTTATCTTTCAGTTATCATGTATATCATTTACTGATTTTGATCAGTGCACAGCATTTAGGTTTACATGTTGTGCACCGATGGGTGTGCTATCGCGATCTCATGTGATCCCAACGTGTGTCCTTGTGCCTCCATCAAACTTGACATTACAGACAAGTCTTGTTTACTTTTCTAAACACTTTGTTTACAGATTATCGGCCTTCAGGTTCCTGATATAATTCAGTACTTAGTGATACACTAGAACTAAAAAAACCGATAAAATAATAAAGTATGCAAATGAACAACGAACACTTAGGACACATATGAAGTGACATGATGACCTTAGGATCGTCGATCAACTGTTACTCTAAAGTTACGTAAAACGAAAGTACACATTTACAATCTTTATGAACGTTTATAAAATCACTTACAGCTATCGTCGTGTCACAAATCCTCTTTTATTACCTGCCTATGAATTTTACAGTTTCATTTGATGTGCATACTATATGTAAGTAAACCCTGTGCTTAGATACATTTGGGTCAAAGCAACACTTCATGCCTGAATCCACTAAGCTTTTTATAAACTATCTTATTTATTAGATGGTATAATATGCCACACCGGATCTAGACTAAAGTGAAACCACAATACTATAAATTTGCATCTACAAAACCTCCTGGATCATGATATAAACATGTTTGATCATTTAAAACAAGACAGAATGTAATATTATTGAAAGCTAAAAAATATGACGTGAATCAATACCATATAATTAATCAATGAAAGCGATCTAAACGATGACTATTCTACGCTGATAAACTAATATGACAAACGAACCATACATCGTGACCGACTTTTCACAGCTACGATGGCCTTATTGAAACTTGCAAATAAAAGTTCCTGATGTAAACATCTCTGTCAGATATAACTTCCTTGACTAGCTATATATAATATGTATTCCTTCCCATAAGCCTGTACGGCTCATAACAATGTGCCAAATTATGTACCTTCCAGGTGATTTCCGCGAAATCGATCACGTGGTCATGTAAACAAATCTACATATACTGGTAGACGTCTGTGTAGCTTAGTTCACTTACGATTGTTTAAGACTTATAGTATGTGTATATTACGTACTGGCATTTTATTTTAGAGATCCACCAATAAATTATACAATTAACTTAAATGTGTTCAAAGACAATTCATAATGTATATTTCACAGGAATTATACAGCATCGTCTTTCAATATACCTATAATAGTGTACACATCCTCCTCCCAAACCCGGTGAACCACCCCATCCTACAGAGAACACCACAATGGCAATGTTGGATATGTGTATGAAGGCGAACATTGAGGTATCCGCCGAGGATATAGGGACTTCACACCGAGCTGGGAAGCTACACAATTCCACTCCTAATCATGTTTCATCGAAACCAAGGCAAATTACTGCACGTCTGAAGTCCAAAGATGTTAAATTCCAGCTACTTAAGAACAATGCTAACTTCCACAAATCTGAGGCTTGTAAAGGTATCTCAGTCCATGAAGACCACATTATACGTGACGAACAACATATCTGCGAGTTCGGCCATGTCATAGCCGCCTAATCTTCTTCTACTTCCAGGGGACTTGTCTCTACGTTGTATACACCGCTCTCACAGTCATTGAACTTGAATAAATATGTTGTTCACCAGATGTTTTGTTTTCGGTATGTTGTTGAATGTTACGATTGGTATTACCTCAAAAGAGTTGGAATGATTAAACGATGGCTTCAGGATGTCGTTGACGTTTGAGTAGTCAGAGATTAATGGGTAGTGTAGCTAGTTTTTATACCGGAGAAGCTGGTGACAACAACTGTTCAAATCTCATTATTTATTACATAATATATTAATACAAACTGTGTAGTCAAATAATTATACATATCATTTATGTATTCCAACGTTATTGCCAAATAATAATGATTATTGCCATGCTCTCTATGCTTATGGAAGGTAAACGAAACCTGGAGTTAAGTATACTTAGTACATATCTCTGTTTGTATTTAAATAAATTTCCCTCGCAATATTGTACAGTAAAAAGTAACTTTTACATTTCTTAGTAAATGTGTCTAATTACAAAAGTGAAATTTATTTCCTACATAAGATGTATAATGGACAAAGTTTTTAATCTTATATTGTATGTACGCCAATCATACTTTGAGTATCATGTACTATTCACTTATTGAAGATAACTGAAACATAGGGTTAAGCAAACTTAGTACATATCTATTTATATATGTATGTTTATACATTTCCCTCTCAATATAGAACAGTAACGAAGAATATCCTTCATTACTAAGTAGATACGTTCAGTATCTAAGGTGAAAAATGTTTAATTATGGTCATCTTATATGTATTCAAAACATACTGCACTTATATAAGTGCGTATGTATGTATGTATGTATGTATGTATGTATGTATGTATGTATGTATGTATGTATGCATGCATGCATGTTAAATGTAGAAATGTCTACTTCTGCATGATGTACATAAGGCACTATTGAACTTTTGTTTCATGATGTATATCAAGGACAGACACAAAGGTAACGTTAACATTGGGTTAAAACCAGGAGAGACTAGCAATCCTTCCTTTACCGATATTGTTACTACATGTTATGGTATTTCAATAATTTTTGATCGGCCTATGCATATTGACCAATTTTATACTATGCAATACCTATGTACGTACTGAGGTAGGCGAAATGTAGAGTTATGCATTTATCTATTTGTACACACTTTCTCCTTGTTATATGGTATAATGTTGTAAATAGCCTTTACTTCACTGATAGTTTTTTGTTTTGTTTGTGTTTTTATCGTGATATGAAATAGTTGATAGAGTTTATCTTTCTTATTAATGTATGTGTGATCTATGTTATAATGATATTTATACCAAAACCGCCGCAAGGTCAAAATTACATAGGGTCCAAAACCAGAAAAGGCAGGCAGTCTTTTTTTATTCTTTATTCTTTTACATGTGGCTTAAGGTATTCAAAATGGCATCTAAAATGACATGCTGTTAAGTCTACAAAAAACATATCGTTCAATATAATAACATTTTCCTCATACAATTTTGCTCATTCATTCTGTGCAAACATGCTTTTTCCGATATTACATATCTTACAATTCTTTTGCAAAATATGAACATTTATTTTGTCACTTTTTTAATTTAACAGTTTTAAATATGATTAGGACATGTGATGCTTATGTTTATTGTAATGAATGCTTCTTGTGTTGATATCAAAATATTTTAGTTTCACTTAAAGACCATTTTCTTGCATACCGTGTATACGCGAAAGGTGTTACCTGATGCGATTGGATAATAAATCATATTATGCAAGAATTGGTCTTTATTATGATTATGCAAACTCGCCTAAAGATCAATTTATATACTCAATAACAACATAAACGCGTAAATGTCAGTTAATGTGTTGCGGTAATCGGACAGTAAGTGCTGCCTCATTGTTGTTATTCGTGTTTCCAATTGAATCGCTGATAGTTGATACTGTTGTTAATTTTGGAAAACCCAACTGTACATTTGTTGGTGTCTGTATGCCTCTTTTAATCCTAACTGGAATGTTATCATTATGTTTTTCAGTTTTTCCACTTCTTCTCTATCAGGTCCTTCCACCTCAAGTCTATCCCTTGAGTCCTCCAACACTACCAATACTTTCCAATCCAATGTCGCATATACTGATTTGAACAGGCTATCATTCGCTCACTTCAATGGTGAACTAAGTAATCATAGCATTTTAGCTTTCACCGAAACTTGGTTATCTGAAAACAACATAAATACCGATATTGCACTTCCCGGCTATGCATTTTCTTGGGTGGAGGGGTATTAGTATACGTTTCCAAGAATACAGCTAAGATAAAAAATGATTTAGAGGTAGACACTGGAGAGAGTATTTAGATAGAAATTAGGACTTAAGGTTCTTTTTGTACGCTATCCAGACCACCAAACGCAGAGGTATCTTTATGGCAAATATTGAACATATAGTAATTTCAGGTGATTTTAATGCAAATAATATTTTAACCAATCCGCCATTCAAATATTTAGATAGCACTATCCGTCTATATAATTTGAAACAGCTGACAAATGAATCAACGTATTACACTGAAAATTCTTCATCTCTGTTAGACGTCATTATATCTAGCAATGACAATAAAATTTCTCGCACTTATGTAGGTGAGCATTTTCTAGAACAAAATATGCGATATCAATGCCCGATATACTTAAAGTGGCAAAGTCTCAATCAAAACCTTTTCAAAGATATATCCTATCGGAAATAAATTGGGCGGCCAATTTAGATACTGACGATGTCAATAGCATGTGCCAAGTAGTCACTGATGAAATTATTAAAGCTGCACATGTTAGCATTCCCTATAACAACGCTATTATTCGTAAAAATAATACACCTTGGATGTGCAGCAATGTAAGGAAACTGATTAGGAAAAGAAAACAAATTCGCAGAGCTGCTAAAAAATCTGGAAAAGATACTGACTGGGCAAAATTCCGACAAATACGTAGTAAAGTACTAATACCATTAGACAAGCTAAACTCAGTTACATCAATAAAAAAAACTTTTTTAGTAACAGACGATCTTTGTGGCAAACTATCAATCACTTCATGCAGCGATCATCAAAAAATAATGAAATTCCGTCACTTCTAGTGTTTGACCAACTTCACGAAACACACGTCGAAAAAGTACAGGTTTTTAACAAGTATTTTAGTGAGCAGTCATCTATTGATGATAATGCTGCAATCCTTCCTTCTCCTCCATTTCCGAAGTGTATTCTTAATACCATCCATATTAGTATAAATGATATAAAAAATATAATACTATCTCTTGATGTGTCTAAAGCAGTGGGGTCAGATATGATAAACCCTCTATTGAAAGAGGCTGCTATTGAACTGTGCTATCTATAGAATATTCAGTTTTCCGTGACTCGTGGAAACTTGCTAACGTAATTCATATACATAAAAAGAATGCCCGCAGAGATGAAATCAACTATCGACCTATATCATTACTTAGCACAATTGGCAAAGTAGTGGAAAGGTGCGTATTTAAATATTTATTCATTTTTTTTATGTAATGGATAAACACCGAAGTACTGATGACTAGTCCAAGGGTAGCATCCCCTCGCTCCCCCCAACCCCTAAATGTGTTTTGTATTTTGACAAAAGACAGTACTTTTATCACTGTTTATTGCAGGAAAATGTTAACTTATCATTGAAATTTTGTTTGATCCCAATTTATTTTATGTTCATTTCCCGGCAGATGGAAATTGGACCGAACACATTTTCTATATATTAAATAAAGCTTCAGCCAAACTAAACATGATACGAAAATTGAAATTTACTGTTTATCGACTCTCGCTACAAACTATGTATTTCGCCTTTTAGGACCAGTCTTAGAAAATGGAGACCTTATATGGGACAATATTTCAGTTGAAATACAGACGCAGCCTGAATTGTAACTGGGGCTACTTAATTGACAAGTATAAACAAACTCTTAATTGAAGTAGGATGAAGTACACTAATTGAAAGACGCCAAAAGCATAAACTTATTCAATTTTATAAAATGGTACATAATATAACTCCTGAATATCTATCCATCTTTATCTCACCTCAAATAGCAGAAACCCATAGGCAAAGTACTCGACAATTAAATAATCGTTCATCTCTCCGTTGCAAAACTAGTTACTATATGTCATTCTTTTTACCTTCCACTATATCATCTTGGAATAATATACCAATTGAAATTAGAACAAACCCCTCTTTATCACACTTTAAGAAATGCCTCGAAAAAGATGCACGACAGTCCCCTCCTTCTTACTACTATTCTGGAAAAAGAATTGCCCAAATCTACCATACCAAACTAGGACTAACATGCAACACTCTTAATGATTACCTATTTAAAAGACAACTTGTAGAAAGTCCACTATGTCCATGCGGGGAAATAGAGGATAATACACATTACTTACTCATATGCCCGAACTATACTTTTTTTTACGACAAACTTACTTATTATCACTATCCCACAACACCACAACTAATTTAATATTATATGATGATATAAATTTACCGGAAGCAGTTAATCTTGATATTTTTTACATCAGTATAGAATTATATTATGCAAAGCATGCGTTTTAACTGAAAATATATGACAATCAACGCATATGTATTTATCTTACTTTATTTTCTATGTAACAGATGTGTTAACAGTGAGTGAGCGCAATGGTCATGAAAACCATATTATGAACAAGTTTCTCATTTTGTTTGTGTTAAGGCGTACCTCACTTCGAGGCGTCATTTCCTACTTGAGTATCACTGCTATTCACATTCATCGAACATTATTACATTGTTTACATATCCCCTTTATATTTCTGCCATTCTGCGAAATTATTTTAAGTATATGCATTTGAACTTAATTATTTCAATATGATTTAATGATTACTATATCTGCTGTCAGTATCGTATATCTAACGTAA